TGGGGATTTAGCTCAGTGGTGCCATGCCTGCCTCACAAGTGCAAGGTCCTGAGTTCGATTACAGGTACAAAAAAAAAAATTACAGAGTTTAAAAAGGAAAGGGAATAGCTGAAGAGTATAGCTCTGATAATTAAACACATGTTGCCTGTACCTCAGTTTCTCAACTTTTCAATGAGGGTAACAATAGTGACATAACATGAAGCACTGGGAATGCTTACTTTTAGAAGTCCCTGAGTAGAAAAATATTTAAGCATAGAATATTCTAAGATAATATCTAGAACCTTGAAAAGATACCAGAATCTCAATTTTTTAAAAAAATGAATAGTGGGGGAGCTGGGGATTTAGCTCAGTGGTTCCTCCACCTGCCTGATAAGAGCAAGGTCCTGAGTTCGATCCCTGGTACCAAAAAAAAAATGACTATAACCATAATTAGCCCAGGCATGGTGGCACACTCCTGTAAAGTAATCCCAGCACTCTGGAGGCTGAGGCAGGAGAATTGCTTCAAGTTCAAGGCCAGCCTGGGCTACATAGTGAATTCAAGGCCAGCCCGAACTACATAGTGAGACCCTAAAAATAGTAACAATAATAATTTTTAGGAAAAAATACCTTCTGAGTCATCTAGAGGAAGAAACTGGAGCTGCTTTCTTGGATTGGGTCGTTGCAATGTGGACACAGGAACAGTATCTAAATCATCCAAAAGTATATCAAATCTATTGAATGAAGCAAGTTACTTGTGAGAAAAAGTGTTAACTGATTTTCTTTACTAGTACGACATACTGGCATCCAGCTAGCTAACATATTTTCTTAAAAGAAAGCTGGTCATATGATTTTCTAAAATGAAATGTAATGTTTATTTTCTAACACAAAATTACACCATATTCACATACTAGAGACTCAAATCAAGTACCTACACATTGTCCTTTCATCTTTAAGGAGCAGGACAGGCATCAGTATCCTGTTTTACAGAAGAGGAGACCGTGCCGTGTGCTCCTGAGTGCCTGAGGGAGCAGGGTCTAGAAGCACTGCAGCCCCTTCAGAGGACCGTGTTCTCTAGAGCAGGCAAAACCTGCCCGGTGCCAGCGCCACACTTGTGCACCCTCTGTCCTGCAAAAATGACGCCAAGGTTTCTCGGGGTCATGAACCTTTACAGGAGGACACAGAGCCACCAGCTGACATCCAAAAGCAGGATGGGTGCTGAGGCTGTATTTAAAATCTAGTAGTGCAAGTTTACATAGTTAAAAACTGTTTTCATGTATTGCAATACTTTATTTTTCATATAATACTCATGTAAATAACTTAAATCCAGAGTTCCGACTGATAAACTGAAAAATTAGTGATAGCTAGAGGCAGAAATCAACATTTTGTTGTTGTTGTTTTTTGAGACAAGGTCTCGCTTTGTGTTCAGGCTGGCCCTGAACTCACTTTGTAGCCCAGGCTGGCCTCGAACTCATGGCGATCCTCCTGCCTCTGCCTCTCAAGTGCCGGGATTACAGGCATGCGCCACCAAGTCCAGCCGGAAATCAACATTTTAAAGATCAATAATATAGGAGAGGAAGGTAATGAGAAAAGAATTAAGATGCGTTATGTGCAGGCACCAGTTCCCCATGAGGAATGTGATCATTATGTACTGCAAACGTGGATTAATAAAAAAATCAGTAATATATATTTTATTCTGCAATTTTAGAGAACTTACCGAATTGGATTGCTTTCATTTTTGCTAAGTAGATGACTAAATCCTGGGGACAAATTTTCTTTAGGGGATCGCTTTGGACTGTAAGCCATCGTCACAGGTGTTAACATAATCTCTCTTTTTGCTAGAGAAGAGAACAAAGAGGAAATATTCTTTTCCTTCTATGCACCATATGTTGTGCTGGCAGAACAGTTTCACAGTGGAGGACTTACCCCTCGTTTTAAAAGGAACATAATTTCACTGTAAGGCTAGGGGTAACCCCTGCTGCTGTTTTAGTGCATCAGACTACTTTCAGCACTGACTGAAAACTGGTTTTTCAGGATTTTAGAAGTGGACTGGAGGTGAAAAGGAAGCACCAGTGAACGCTCCTGTAACAGTAAATACAGAGTCTTCTGGGCTGCTGTGAAAGGGGGTAATGAAGGTGCAGAAACTGAATGCTTGTGCTTTCAAATGAACCTGTACTTGGCTAAAGAGAAGAGGCCACTGATGCTGAGTAACTGGGGTGAGACAGGTAGGAAGCATCTTCTCTTTTCTGACTAGCGTGAACTGTCTGAATTAATGTTTAATTAGTAGCTGTCTACTCTCAAAAACCCTGAAGTGGTTTTACTTCCAAATAATTTACTAGACACACACAAACATCTGGGTTTAATTAATGAAGATTTCTTAGGTCTGTAGTATCTGACAGACAACTGTCCTTAGTGAACGAGGAAAATTGTGTGTGTTTAGGAGGCCCGTGCTCAGGGGTGCTCTATCAAGGGCTGGGGAGCAACAGCTGACGGCACAAGAGCTCACACATCATCACTCTCACCCCGGAGACGACACATCTAACTTACTTGGAGCGCTGGATTTGCGATTTGAAGGTGGCAAAGATGATGATCTCTGGGAGGCAGAATTCTGTCTCTTTTGTCTCTGTTGGGGCCATTTCTCCGGGGAATGACTTGCGTTGCCTGAAGATTCAGTTTGCTGAGGATTCACTAATTCTGTAACAGGCAAATCAAAACAAACCGGGCTTCAGTTGCCTGCCTTTATTACAGATGTCACAACGCACAAGGGTCTGCTCAAGGCTTTTTTTTTCTGGTAGCGCTGGGGGCCTTCATACTGAGCCTCATGTCCAGCCCTTTTTAATTTTTCTTTTTTTTTTTTTTTTGGTACCGGGGATTGAACTCGGGACTTGGTGCTTGCGTGGCAGGCGCCAGAACCACTAAGCTAAATCCCCAGTCCCTAATTTTTCTTTTTTTGACAAGATCCCACTAAATTGTCAAAACTGGGCATGAACTCATGATCCTCCTGCTTCAGCTTCCCAGAGTGCTGGGATCATGAGCATGCATCACCACACCTGGCTCAAAGCATTTCTTCTCATCATTAAGGCTGCAGTTATTATTTGCAAATGCACATTATAAAGATAAAAATGCTTGATGAAGAAAAATGTGGGAGTTTATAATGAATTCATACTGGCTTCCTGTTTACATTCGAAGCACTGAAGGTGATTTGTCAGGAGTTTATTTTTAGGAAGCAGGTTACTAATTTATTTACTAGGAGACTCTGCTGTGTGGCTGAAACCCCAGAGATTCGGGGACATGACTGGCAGTCTGAGCAAGTAAGCAGAGGACAAAGTAAGAGGGACTAAGAGTTGACCTGGATCTTGAAACACAGCACCTAGAGAGAGGACAGATCCTTTCTGTCCTCTCTACAGATGCTCAAGAACCCAGAAAAGGAAGAAGAATAGGAAATGTTAACACCTCATTTTATGAACACCAGAAGTCTGTCACAAGAAGGACAAACTGATGTAAACATTTTTCAAATAGCCTTAAGAATGCCACAGGAGCCTTTGTAATAATCAATGTAATATGCAATTTGCTTTGTATAAAAGGTACATGTTATGCCAGGATTGTGATAAATTATTAACCAGGGGATTCAATTATCTACGAAATGGGCTAAGGCAGCAGTATCATAAATTAAACTGCATTGCATTATCTGAGGAATTTAATTTTTAGGAGGTAATATAAGTGGGGGAGGAGAGAAGATTGCTCTGTTTATGTAAAGAAGGAATAAAGTAAATACTTACTATTTGAGGTATCTTCTTTCTCTGTCTGTGTCCCCCAATGTTTAAATATTTTTTCTTCATCAAGTTCTTTTAAAGCTTTCATGATTGGTGTGTCTGAAGTCTCTCTTTGTTTTTTAATCAATAAGCTTGCTGGTGAACCTCCAGGGGAAGAATCCTTTTGCAGAGGAGAATGGTACCTTAAATAATAATTGTAATTGTAAGTGCTGCTGCCTGAATGGGCTCTGCCTGCCAACATACAAATGAAAGCCCTAACCCTGGGTGATGGGATTTGGAGGCACTAGGTAGTGATCAGGAAGGGTTAAGGTCATGACAGTGAAGTCCCCACCATGGAATTAATGTCCTTCTAAAAAAAAGAAGAAACCTCAGTGGTGTAATCCCAGCTGCTCAGAAGGCTGAGGCAGGAAGAGCACAGATTCAATCAAGGCTAGCCTGGGCAGCTTCACAAGATCCTGTTTCAAAAAAAAAGTGGGGCTGTGGTGCCATCACCTGCCTCGCAAGCACAAGGTCCTGAGTTCGATCCCCGGTACCAAAAAAAAAAAAAAATCTTTGGGCAGGGGATTTAGCTCAGTGGTTCCAGCACCTGCCTCGAAATTGGAAGGACCCAAGTTCAATCCCCGGTACCAAAAAAAAAAAAAAAAAAAGAGGGGCTGGGGATGTTAGTTCAGTGATAAAGTGCCCCTGAGTTTCATTCCCAGTACAGCGGAAAAAAAGGGAAAACAAAACAAAAAACAAACAAAAAGATGGGCCAGGTTAGCTCAGTGGTTCTGTTGCCTGCCTTGCAAGCGCAAGGTCCCAAGTTCGATCCCTGGTACCCCCACAAAAATAATAAATAAAAGATCAGCATGCTCTCTCTGCCACATGCCAAGGATGGGCCATGTTAGCACACACTTGGGAAGAGGCTCGTCTTTAAGAATCTGACGGTGCTGGCACAGTGATCCTACCTTGCAGCCTCCACAACTGGAGAAAGTGTTGTTGAAGCCACTGAGACTATGGAAATTTGTTAGGCCGACCAAGGTTAAGACACATCATTTACTAGGATTGTTAGGGAACTAACAGGAGACTTAACGATTAATATTTCACAATGAACATGCATGCTTCACAATGCAAATAACGAAAATCCCTGCAGATAGGAAACCGGTGCTTCTCAGTTCTTTTAACATCCTAGCATATTATATATTTGTTGGTTTGTTGTTTTTGTTTGTTTGTTTTGGTTTTTGGAGACAGAGTCTTGCTATGTAGTTCAGGCTGGCCTCACACCGTGGCAATCCTCCTTCCTCAGCCTCTCTAGTGCAAGGATTACAGACATGCACCATCTCTCCCAGCCAGAAATACTGTATTCGTATGGCACCCTGGAGCACAGGGCGGAAGCTACTCATGGGGCCTTGGGTGATCCTTGGGAAAGGCTCATCGCGTTGCCCTAACTGTGGGCCACACTGTGTTCCGGAGCATAGGCGAGGCTGCTCTGAGAGCCCACCTAAATAAAGCATCCTATGCACATCAGTGTCTCAAACTAAAATAGAAACCCCAGTTGGCAGAGAGATGCCTGCCTGCAATCCCAGCACTCTGGGAGGCTGAAGCAGGAGGATCAGAAGTTCAAACCCAGCCCGGGCAACTTAGGAAGATCTTGTCTCAAAATAAAATACATTTTTTAAGAGGGTAGAAGGTGGGAATGAACCTCAGTGCAAAAGCCCTAGGTTCAATTCCGCAACACCATTTTAAAAAGAATCCTCAAAATTAAGACCTTAAAGAACCAAAGAGATAGCTCTTGGGTGGGGATGTGGCTCTGTGGTAGAGAATCTGCCTAGCATGCTCCAGACTGGGTTTATCTCCAGCACTGCAAAACACAAAACGAAATAAGAGACATGGATTTTTCTATCTTTCTAAACATTTAAGGCACCTGAACCACTAAAAAAGCAGAGCACGCCTAGCCAGGCCCTTCAGTGGCTCTTACCCAGGACCACAGGGTCGTTCCAGCGGGCCTTCCACCCTCCCGTCCTGGCCGTCCAGCGGCTGGCCAGTGAAAATGGAGTACTCGGCGCCCGGGATCAGCCACTTCCGCCTGCTGACGTCCGAGGTCCCTAGCATGCTATTGGGATGAGAAACATTCCGGTCTTGCCCTGCTTTCAGGCAGTATTTACATTTGCACAGTGACTTAAAAACCACATGCAGTAATCTATATATTTTAGATACATGAATTCTATTTTACAGTTTTAAGATTGAACTGAACAGTTATTTTTGGTTTCTGTTGCTTCTGAATATTCCCAAATTGCTGTCAAAATCCAGTGCTTGCCAGGCGTGGCAGCATATGCCTATAATCCCAGCCCTAGGAAGGATGAGGCAGGAGGACTACCACAAGTTCAAGGCCAGCGTGAGCTACATAGTGAGACCCTGCCTCAAAACAAAAAAGACCTGGTCCTCACAGCTCTCCTCAAGCCTCAGCTGCCTCCCAGCACCCTGCATACCCTTTCCTCCCTAAGCAGAGCTTAGGGCAAGGAGAGAAGACAGGGCTGCTTTTTCGTTCTTTCAGATCAGCACCATTCAATACAATTTTCTGCAAAACCAGAAATGCTCTCTCTCTGCACTGTCCAGCATAGCAGCCACATGTTATGCTGGACAGTGGCTAGGGAAACTCAAGAACCACCTTTCATTGTCACATGCAGCCACCAGCAGCACAGTTCTAGACTATTCCGTCCTCCACATTTTCAGGAAACCTGCTGGCCAAGGGTCATACCTTCCCGTTCACTCTGGGCCCTTCATAGACTGCAAGTTGTGCTCAGCTCACCATGTCTAAGCCTGATGCCATTCAGGAGCTGTCCTGACTCAGCAGCCTGAGCCTCTGCTCCTCAGCTGTCCACCCTCAAGGACATCGCTGGGCCCTGTCATCACCAGAGACCACACCCCCTGTAAGGCCAATTCTCCAAGTCTCCTCTTCTGTTCCTTTGCTTGCAGCTCAATCGCCACCACAGGAGCCAGCCCGCCAGCCCAGTCCCTTCCTAGCCACCAGTCCTTGCGGGCTTCACTGCTTCCTCTCTATCTGCTCCAAGACCACGCTCAGGACTCCCTTCCCCTCTCACCTAAGCCTGACAGGCTGCAATGACGCCACTTCCCAGCTCCACTGCCACAGCTGAACTTGGCTGGTATTTATTTAGGTACGTATTTATTTATTTATGGCTGGTTTTTAGAGATAATAAATCTGAGCTCCAAAAAAATGTAAATGAATTTGCCTAAGGTCACACAGCCAGGCAGAGTCAAGGACAAAATACGTTCCAAATTTCCTTATTCTCAACCTGATTCTGCTGTCTTCATTTATGCAAATGCCTCTATAGCTTCAGTGGCAATTTTTTTTTCCAGTACAAGGACGAACCCAGGGCCTAATGCATGCTAGGAAAGTGCTCTACCACTGAGCTGCATCCGCAGCCCTTTTCTATTTTTTATTCTGATTCAGGGTCTCACTAAGTTGCCCAGGCTGGCCTCAAATTTGTGATCCTCCTACCTCAGCCTCCCAAGTAGCTGGGATTATAGGCATGTACTAGGATCAGTAATTTTTTTATATACACATCTAAATTCTGTAAGGATACTTAACCCTGAATTTCTAACAATTTAAACAGAAGAGCTTCTCCCTTTAATAAGAGTATCACTTAACTTCTAGCTTTATAGAGATTAAATGAAATAACTTACTTGGCACGTGAGGGTTTCATGTGAGTTTTAGAATTATGATGCAGACTTAACATATTTTCATGTTCCACTTGCTTCACTTGAGCTTCAAGTTTTGAAATTGTTCTAATTCAAAAGCAATACGATAAATTAAGTACATTGCAACAAATTTAAAATATAGTGCAACTAAAATTATTTATTTATTTTTATTCTTTTGGTTTTTTTGAGACAGGGTCTCACTATGTAGTTCCGACTGGCCTTGAACTATGTAGCCCAGGCTGGCCTCAAATTCACAGTGATCCTCCTGTCTCAGCCTCCTGAGTGCTAGGATTTCTGGCATCCGCTACCATCCCCAGCATAAAATAACAGTCCCTCATAGAAAAGGTATACAAAAGCATTACCTCTCTATAAAATCTTTTTCACAGTAAATTATCACAACTAAACTTTTAAAAGCTGAGCAAAATAAGGGAAAATAAGCAGAAATACAAATACATTAGGTTCTACAAGGAGCACTTAGAAAATGAAACAATAAATGGTATTAAAGTAGCAAGTAAAAAAGTTTCATGAATTTGAAAACATATCAAAAACATGCAGAATATAAATTAAATATCAAATAAACTGCATTTTAACAGTTAATTGTAACATACATGTATTCATGCACACAAAGTATAAGTAACAGTTTCACAAAATAGAAAGCAAGCTTAACTTCCAAAATAGAGCTGTTAAAAAGAACTCCCTAGTTATGAAAAGCAATGGCTAAATTATCCTGAGCAACTCTTCACCTTTCAGCAATCTGCCTCATTCATGCTATATTCAGAGTAAAACTCCATTGCAAGTCTACCAGCAGAGGATAACTACTCTGGCCAGGTAACTGTTCCCAGGACACCCTGGCCTTTCTTCTGTTCTTCTAAACTTTATGTGCATCTTCATCATCCTGTCTAAATTTGAATGCTACCTACACTGACACATGGAAGCTTTCACAAGGCTGATGCTTACACCAGTCTGATAAGGAAGTTGTCACTAGAATGAATGAACTAAAGAAAAAGAAGATGAGAAATCAACACAGCTTTTCTATTCTTCCAACTGCAACAAAATTCTAAGTAAAGGTATTACTTACATCCAAATTTAAAAAGTATAAAAATATGTTCTAGGGTTGGGGATTTAGCTCAGTGGCACCACGCCTGCCTTCCAACCACAAGGTTTTGAGTTCCATCCCTGGTACCACAAAAAAAAAAAAAAAAAAAGCTCTAAGCCAATTTAGGTGTTTCTAATCATTTGCAACAGGGAGCATTTATGATTCTGTTACTACCAAATTAAGCAAATCTGGATATGTAGTCTCCAACCCAAATCTATAAGAAAGTAGGTGACGAAATCTGCAAGAAACTCTAGTATGAAAACGTTGTGCCCTCTACCTCCACCTCAGCCTAGTATTGGGGCAGAACCCAGGGCCTGGCACACACTAAGCACCTGCTCTATCAGTGAGTTACACCTACACTTGCAGCTCTGTCTTCTTTTTGAAGCATGAAATAATTGAGTGAACAAGATTGCTTCTTTTTTATTTCCTTGGTTTATCTTTTTTTCCTTTAAATAGGTTCTTACTATGTACCCCAGGCTGTCCTTGAATTCAGCAATCCTCTTGCCTCAGTCTTCTGAGGGCTGAAATTACAGTCATGGGCCACCACGCCTGGCTTAGACTGCTTCTTAAAATTCTTTCCAGTAGGGCTGGGGATTTAGCTCAGTGGTTCTGTCACCTGCTTCACAAGCACAAGGTCCTGAGTTCAATCCCCGGTACCCCCCCACCAAAAATTCTTTCCAGTGATTACACATCATTCAGATTTTACCTACAGTGAGCAAACACATAATGCTTGGGGAAATGCATACCTCCTAGGCACATCCAGAGCTGGAGGTATAAGGCTGTGGGGGTGGTAGATTGCTTGCCTAGAATGAACGAGCCCCTAGGATCTACCTCTAGAACACCACAAACTTTAAAAAAAAACCTCCTTTGGCTAAAATCAAATGTATTTGCATGCCAAAGCAAGATTAAGATAAAATTACTTCTACACTGTTTTTAAATCCTGAAGAAAAACTGCCTTTTTTATTACCCTCAATACAGACACTTTTAAAAAAATGAGGGGCCAGGGATTTAGCTCAGTGGTACTGCACCTGATCCCCAAGCACAAGGTCCTCAGTTTGATCCCCAGTACCAAAAAAAAAAAAAAAAAAGGTATTTCCTTAATAGTCAGACAACTTTACCTTTTCAAGTCAGAAATCTGAGTATGCGCATCAAGTAATTTGTTCTCAGTTGTATTTAATGCATCCTACGAAAATAAAGAGAAAATCAGATAACTCAAAATACACATTTCTATCTATTCTTTTAATTCAAAATGCATCGCATAATATCAATCTAAAGCCAAACCAGTTAGCTACAGATACTCAGATACTACAGATGATACTCAGATACTACAGATACTCAGATACTACAGATACTCAGCAAGTATGGGACTGACTGGAGCTGGGACAGATACCAAGGAAAAAACAAGAGGGCAAAACACAGGCCTGTACAAGTGGCTCGGTTTAAGTCCCCTGGCAAGATACTGCAGTGCATTATGCTTTGCTTAGTTAGGACCAATCCAGAGTTAAAACACAGATTTGACCACAACTTTGATTAACAGCTCTGCAGAACAATAGAAGAAATAACACCTTTCTAACAATGTGATTCGCTCCTGAAGCCTAGAGTCCTTGTTGTCTGGCTAAGCAGCCTCAAAGCCCACATGCCAGCCAAACGGCACGCACCGTCCCTACCTGCCTGCAGTGTTACTACAGCGTTGCATCAGTTCAAATATGTAGTCTCCAAATAGACTATTTATTAAGAAATCTTGGGGCCGGGGATGTAGCTCAGTGGCACCGTGCTCACCTCACAAGCACAAGGTCCTGAGTTCGATCCCTGGTTGGGGGGGGTGATCTGACTCAAGGAATAAGCTCATACAGCCCCACAAAAAACCTAAGCCTTTGCAACTAAAAAATTTATATTTAAGCAGTATTAAATAATTAATTGCATCTGTGTGGTTCCTTATGCTCTTTTAAACAATTTAATCTCAATTCATCTTAAATGCAATAACCATTCAAAAACGCTTATTAAATGAATTAGCTAACTTGTGAGTTAAATAGGGCAGATATTTGAAAATAAGGATATCAACAAGAGGATGAACAGGTCGTCTAGTTTACAGAGTGTGGGGTGGAAGAGGAGGAGAAAATCTGGTCTCTTAAGGCCCCATCCAGTGCTTTTTCCCCTACATGAAATCCGGAACAAAGACCATGGTCCATTACCTTTACTCGTCTGTGTTCCTTTCCCAGGGACTCATACTCTCCTAAGAGCTACAAAGAAAAACAATTACATCACAAAATTAAACATTATGACAGCCAAGGGACAGTCTAAAAACTAACAGCCCACACCCTTCAAAACTGCCAATGTCATGCAAAAGAAAGGTTAGCATACAACTGATGATGCTGGTAAATGGTGTATGATGATTCCTGATATTATTCTTGGAATTTTTTTTTGTCTCCCCATGTAGTCCAGGCTGGCCTTGAACTCACTGTGTATCCCAGTCTGGCCTCAAAGCTCACAGCAATCCCCGTGAGTCAGCCTCCCAAGTGCTGGGACTGTAAGTGTGCCACCACCACGCCTGGCATTATTCTTCTGAATTTTTAAATTTAAAATTACTCAAGAGTAAAAGTAATATTCAATTCCCTTGAAGTAGCTTATGTGACTAAAATTTATTCATACTGTCTTTTGTTAAATTGTTACATAACATATTACTGCCCTTTTTTTGGTACCAGGGATCAAACTCAGGTCCTTGCACTTGTGGGGCAGGCGGAACCACTGAGCTAAATCCCCGGTCCTACTTCCCTTTTTTTGAGATAGGATCTATGTACTTCAGCCTGGTCTTGAACCTCCTCCTTGAACCTCAAACAGTGATCCTCGCGCCTCAGGATCACAGATGTGTGCCACCATGCCTACCCTGAATTGTTACATATTATGTTTTGCTAAATTAGCTCTACAGAATAAAAGTACAATGCACTACACTATATAATATCTATTACATCATACCATTTAATACATAATAATGTAATGGTCAGTTAATTATAATTTACTTTAAAAATACATATATTGAGACTTCTAGTTAAAGACAGATTTACCACACAATTTTCTCCTCTTTATCTGAAGATCCCACAATGGAGAAAACAGTGAAGAAATCAAGGAGAAAACAAGAGCAGTGACCATAACAGGTAAGATATTTTAATAAAAAAAATTTCGAAAAGCAAACAGAGCCAGGGCACACAACTGTGACCCCAGAACTCTGGGAGGCTCAAGCAGGAGGGTCATAAATTCAGGTCACCTGAGTAACAGACTTAATCAGACTCTGTCTCAACAACAACAACAATAACAAAAAAGCAGAGAGCAAAAGTGCCTTAGCGGGTGGAGGGGCTGCTACCACACTGAGGGCCTGGGCAGAGGACTGTGGGGAGAGGGAGGGGCTCGCCATCTGAGCCCACACCAAGAGGCGGGCAGGGGAAAGCACAGGCCTGACGGGCAGCTGGCTGAAGTTCCTTAAGCACAGTGTAAAGAGCCAACATATGAAAAATAGAAGCCAGTATTGAACAGACATTTAAATCAATGATTAAACAGAAGAAACAATGGATTAACACTAGAGAAATCGGCCTGGTGTGCTGGAGCAGACCTGTAATCCCAGCACTCTGGAGGCTGAGGCACAAGGATCACCATGAGTTCAAGGCCAGCCTGGGCTCCATAGTGAGATACTGTATCAAAAAACAAAACACTAGAGAAATCATTGAAGAGAACCATAATTAATACCTCAAATTCATAAAACAAGAACAGAAAACCATGAAAAATGAGTGATCTTTTTTTTTGGGTACCGGGAATTGAACTCGGGGCCTTGCACTTGGCAAGGCAGGTGGCAGAGCCACTGAGCTAAATCCCCGGAGAAAAATGACAAATCAGAAAAAAGAGCTTAGAAACTAAAAATGAGGGCCAGGGATAATGCAGCTCAGTGGCATCGCGCCTGCCTGGCAAGTGCAAGGTCCTGAGTCTGGGGTTTTTTGTTTGTTTGTTTTGGTACTGGGGATGGAACTCAAGTCCTTGTGCTTTCAAGGCAGGCGGCGGAACCACTGAGCTAAATGCCCAGCCCCTGCAAGGTCCTGAGTTTGATACCCAGTACTGGGGGAAAAAAATGACTAAAAATAAAAAAAGAATAAATTTAATGTTAAGGACAGAAGATAAAAAACAGGCCCAAATGAAAACTAAAAGTCTTAGAGAATCAACCCATGCAATACAACATCTGTTGGCAAAAAGTTCCAGAAAGAGCACAGAGAAAACAGAGAAGAAATTAATCACAACGTGGCATTAACAGATTCTGCAGAACTGGAGGACATTAACATACATGGTAGAAGAACCTGTGCCCCAAGTCAGAGCATACTGCTGCAAAATTTCAGAATACCAAGGATAAATAAAAGATGCTGGAAAATTTCCATAAGGAGAAGAAAAAGATCCTTATTCAAAAGAAATAAGCAACATTATTAACCTGGCATGGTGGCCCACCCCTGTAGCACTCTGGAAGGCTGAGGCAGGAAAATCACAAATTCTACTCCAGCCTGGACAACATACCAATATAGTAAGACTCTGTCTCAAAATACAAAATAAAAAAGGGGCTGGGGATATAGCTTAATGTGAAGGCCCTGGGTTCAACCCCCAGTATTGAAAAGGAAAAAAAAGTAGAAAGAAAGAAATATGATTATTAAATGCAATGTGTGGTCTTTAATTCAACCCTGGGTTCAAAAGCAAAATATTGGGCCGGGGATTTAGCTCAGTGGTTTTGCCACCTGCTGCACAAGTGCAAGGACCTGAGTTCGATCCCTAGTACCAAAAAAAAAAAAAAAAAAGACCTGGCTATTGAGGTGAGGAGGACGATTCCATGACCCTGAAGTCACAGAAATATCCACATAGGTGATTACTTGGGCAGACATTACCCCTCCAAATCAGCAGCTCCTTCAGGGTAAATGAGATAGTATTAAATTCTACTTACTAGCTCTCGAGTTATGTGAAACAAACTTAGATATTCTTTTTCCTCCCCTGGTTTTTGCCACTAAACCTTTAAATTCTAAACAAACTGTGTGCATTAGTGATCACACCCATGGCCTCATGCACACTAGGCAAGTGCTCCGCACTGAGTTACATGCCCAGCCGGGCAAAATTATTATTATTATTTTTTTTTTGCAAAATTACTTTTTTTTTGAGACAGCGTCTCACTCTGTAGTTCAGGTTGCCCTTGAACCACTATGTAGCTCAGGCTGGGCTCAAACTTGTGGCAATCCTCCTGCCCTAGCCTCCTGAATGCTGGGATTACAGGTCTGTTCCACTACTCATAGCATGCACACTTTTATTTGGTTGGTTTGTTTGGTACCAGGGATCGAACTCAGGACCTTGTGCTTGCGAGGCAGGTGCAGTGTCACTGAGCTAAATCCCCGGCCCTCATGCACACTTTTAAAAGAACAAAAACAAGGGGAAGGACTGAGGGTGGTAAAGCTCTTGCTCAGCATGCACAGAACTCTCAGTTTTATCCTCAGCACTGCAAAAAAGAAGTGAACCCCATAAAAATACCACAAACATGGTGCAAGTATGTAAGCACAGCTTTCTGGGAGGCTGAGCAGAAGTTCCAGAAGCCTGAGCCCAGCCTGGGGAACTTAGCAGCTTAGTAAGACCCTGTCTCAAAATAAGAAAATGAAATAAGGGCTAGGGACGTAGCTCATTGAGAAGGCCCTGGAATCAATCTCTAGTACCAAAAACAAAACAAAACAAAAAAATCACAAAGTAAAAAAAAGTACACACCAAGAACAGACAACTACAATACCTGTAACCATTTTACATTAATCATATTGACAGAAATTAAGAGGTCTGACAATACCAAGCACTGGAAATAATCCAGAAAACTATGAAGTCTCATATCCTACTGACAGGGCAAATAAACCACAACCATTTCAGAGAACAATTTAGCAGTATCTACTATAGAGGACAATCCTCATATTTGATGTCTCTGACATCACACTCTGAGAGATACATTCATATGAGACTGTATTCCCTAATAATCCTCACAGCACTATTTCTAACCCCATAAGCTGTTGCAGAACCTTGGTATGTCCAATCAAGGGGTGGTATATATATATTTCCCTTCCCCTAAACCCTGTGCAGGACTTTGAAACTGTTTAAAAAACAGAATGTGCTGAGTGTGGTGGCGCATGCCTATAATTCCAGCCCTTGGGGGCGCTGAGGCGGGAGGATCGCTATAAATTCAAGCCCAGCCTGGGCTACATGGTGAGTTCAAAGCCATCCTGAACTGCATAGCAAGACCCTGTCTCAAAAAATAAAATACAGAATGTGGCATGGTAAAGCTGTATGATTTCAAGGCATCAAACGTCATTAGAAGACATGGCTGATGTCTGTCCTTAATACTCAGCCATCCTGCTGCAAAAACCCCAAAGCAGCCCAAAAAGATAAGAGCTGTGGCCTTAGTTGACAACCATGAGCCATGACCAAACATGCCTTCAGGATATTCCAGTCCCATGCAGGAGGTGGTGGCCCATGCCTGTAATCCCAGCACTTGGGAGGTGGAGGCAGGAGGGTCACTGTGAATTTGAGGCCAGCCTAGGCTACATAGTGAGTTCAAGGCCAGCTCAAACTGCATAGAGAGACCTTGTCTCAAAAAAAAAAAAAAAAATCTAACCCCAGCCTTTGAGATTCCAGCTGAGGTTCTAGACATTGCAGAGCAGAAACAAGCTGCTCCTGCCACATCCAAGACCCTGAGCAGAAGTTTGGGACAATCTGCTTTGTAACTAAGGTAAGGGGAAAATACCCTAGAGCAGTGATGGTGAACCTTTTAGAGCTTTCAATGATACAAATAGCCGCTGCTGCACCAATGCAGGCCACAGGTTCTGCCACCATTGCCCTGGAGGGACATGCACACATTAGCATGAGGAGCCAGGTACAGGAAAGCTCAGGGTAATGTTCCTAACAGCAATAACAAACTGTCAACAGGAAAATGGAAAAATTGTGGAAGAGCCACCCAATGAACAACACAGAAATGAAAACTAACCAGTGCTATTCCATGTATTGACTTGGGTACAAGTAAAAGAAAACATGTAGACCAGTAAACAGGCAGAGGGGTGCACACCTGCAATCCCAGTGTTGTGCTTTGGATCTGGAATACCTCCCCAAAGCCTTGTGTGTTTAGGGTGGGGCTTCTGGAAGGGGACTGAATTTGGGGGCGCTATACATGGCTTGCTGTTAAGAAGGTGGGGCCTGGTTAGAGGCAGGTCACTGGAGCACAGTGTGGAAGGGCAAAGCTCCCTCCCTGGCTTTATTCCTTTTTTTTTTGGTACCAGGGATCGAACTCAGGACCTTGTGCTTTCGAGACAGGCGCCAGAACCACTGAGATAAATCCCTGGCCCTCCTCCCTGGCTTTATAAGCTTTTGGAACTGGCTTGAAAGAGAAGTCTGCAAAGATTTGGAGATGCCAGATAGAAAAGCTCAAAAATGTTGTAAACTGAGCTTGACAGGAGATTCTAGTCAGAGCTCAAAAGACCAGAATGCTGATAGAAATGCAGACAGTAAAGACCAGGGTCATGAGGTTTCAGTTGGAAATAAGGACTCCATTGGCTGTTGGCCCTGAGACCACGTGTTATGCTCTGGTAGAAAATTCGTCTAGCCAGGCATGGTGGCTCATGCCTATAATCCAAGCACTTAGGAGGCTGAGCCAGGAGGACTGCTGTGAGTTTGAGCTGGGCTACATGATGAGTTCAAGGCCAGCCTGAACTACATAGTGAGATCCTATCTCAAAAAAACTCCCCCCAAATATTGTCTCAATTTTGTTCATGTTATGAGACTTTGCAGGAGACTAAGATTAAGGGTGGCACACTAATACATTTGGCAGAGGAAATTTCAGGACAGCCCATCATTCAGGTGGTGGCATGGCTGTTGGCTGCTTTTAGCTAACTCTACAATGAGAATCAGGAGCAAACAGCATAGCTGAGTGATTTCTAAAGTTTTTAGTTCTGCCAGTAAGTGCCTATAAGTTTTAGCCAGGAGCTTGGTTGCTAAAAAGATGAACATTAAGAAGAAGCCAAGTGGGGCTGGGGATTTACCTCAGCGGTTTCACCGCCTGCTGCGCAAGCGCAAGGACCCAAGTTCGGTCCCCGGTACCAAAAACAAAAAAGAAGAAGCCAAGTACTTTACATCAGGACAATAGAAAAGAAGTCTGAGGCCACCTCAGAAATCAGCAAGATCCCCACCCTTCACAGGCTACAAGATGTAACTGTGAAAGACTTTGCTTTGAGAAAAGAGCCCCAGGGAACCTAGCTCATTCAGGGCCAGATAGAAAAGAGTTTCCCTGAAGCTCAGCCATCTAGGCACTCAGAAGCTTCTGCCACCATGATCCAAGGGGACCCAGCCAGTGCTTGAGGGGGTGACAAACACTAGAATCAACCATGTGGTGCTAGTTTTATAGGCATGCAAAATGCAAGAGTTGTGGGGTTGTGGAGGCTTCCCCCAGATTTCAGAAAGAGGGCTGGGAAGACAGGCAGTGTGCACCTGAGAGGGCAATGTGTGAAGCTGTGAGAATGAAGCCAAAAGTGCAGTGGAGACCTCAGGAAGTTAGAGAAACCAAGAACATGAAACATCTGCTGAAAAAGGCCCAGGCAGTAAGCAAAGCAACCCCAAGAGAAAAGCCATGAGACCTGCATCTGTCAATGCTGTAGGGACAGGGCCACCTAAGCCACTTGGGGGACATATCTTGCCACTGTGTGTCCTCAGTGCTGTACAAGGAACTATGGGATTTAATGTTTGCCCAGCTGAGTTTTGGTACTGCTTTAGTCCGATTTCTTTCTACCTTCCTGCTCCTCCCTTTTAAAATAGGAATGTTTACTTTGTGCCATTTTATGTTGGGAGTGTTTAACTTTTTGATTTTTACAGGGGTTCACACCTAAGAGTTTGTCTTGGGTCTCAGAGAAGACTTTGGACTTTTTCCGCAATGCTGAAACTGTTAAAACCTTTGGTCTCATAGAGATAAACTAAATGCATTTTACCTAAAGAGACACACATGAGTCTTCTGGGGCCAGGGGCAGAATGTTGTGGTTTGATTTGGACTGTCCCCTGTAAGCCTCATGTGTTTAGTGGGGCTTCTGAAAGGTGACTGGATTATAGGGGCACTCTAGCTGCTGTTACCAGGTGGGGCCTGGTTAGAGGCAGGTCACTGGGGCATGGAAGAGTGTGTCTCCATCCTGCTTCCTGGATGTCATGATGTGACTAACATTTCCTTTGATATGCCCTTCTCCCTTGTTGACCAGCGTTGGGGCCAGCAGACTATGAAAATGTGAGCCAAAATAAAGTGTTCCTCCTTTAAAATATGCATGTCAGGTATTATCTTATCCACAAGAAAGTGACTAAGACACTCAGGATTCAGCCAGGAGGACTGACAGTTCAAGGTCAGCCTGGACTACCCTGTCTCAAAAAAACAAAACAAAACAAAAGCTGCAGAATATTAAATGCAGCACAATAGCATTTACAAAAAGTTTTAAGACATGCTGAAGAAGTAACATTGGTTAAGGATACATACGGTCATGATCACAGACAGATATGGGAATTATATTCACAAAATTTAGGTCAGTTACTCCCAGGAAGCCAGAGGCAATCAGAAAAGGGTACATGAGAAACTTCAACCGCAGCTGTAATATTTATTTCTTAAGTTGTGTGGTAGGTCCATATATATTGTTATATTATTCTTTATATCTTTCTTTATACTTGAAATAGTCCAAATACACTTAAATGAAACCAATAAATGAAAGCTAAATGTAGCAATACAGCATATCTCACAAACAATGCTGAGAGGAAAAAAACAGGTTCCAACATGATGCACTTTATATACAGTTTAAGAACATATAAAACATTAACAGTAGCCAGGTGCAGTGATAGGCCTATAATCCCAGAACTCTGGAGGTGGAGGCAGGAGAATTCCAAGATTAAGGCCAGTCTGAGCAATTTAGCAAGATCCGGTTTCAAAATAAAAATAAATAAATAAATAAAAAGGGCTGGGGATGTAGCTCAGTGAAAAAGCCCTGGGTTCAATCCCTGATAGCTAAAAACAAGAAGAAAAAAACAAAAAACAAGAAAATCTCCAGAGTGAACAGTCCCTCAGGTGGCCACCAAAATAATGAAAAAAGCACTGAGACACATCACTGTGGAGTTTCAGAACAAGGGAACAAAGGCAAGACCCTCAGCATCTCTAGAGAAGGAAAAGCTAGGAGGTGATGACAGCTGCTAACAGCATGGTCCTCACAACAGCATCTCCGGAAGGCAGTCAGAGGACAAAGACGGAGCGGTAACTACAGCAGTGCAGTCATGTGAGCAACCACATCCCCAGCCTTGGTTTGGAGATCTGAATAACCATTTACATGAATTACATTCAGGAAAATGGATGTTAAAAAGCAAAGGAACAAGAAGTACATCTAAAGCTACCGGGCAGAAAAGTGTCAAGACTGGCCGGGCATGGCAGTGCACAGCTATACTCCTGCACTCAGGAGGCTGAGGCAGGAGGATCACTTGAGTTTGAGGCCAGCCTGGGATACACACTGAGTTCAAGGCCAGCCTGAGCTACATACATAGCAAGGCCCTGTCTCAAAAAACAAAACAAAACAATGTCAAGACTAAATAATTTGGTATTATGTACTAAATAATATGAAAAAAGACTAAGAAAAACTTGGGAAAAAATACACAACCTGCAACTTTATTCAGTATTAATTTTATATACATCCAAATTTTAAGTGAAAATAAATTTAAGTGAAAATAAATTAAAGTGAAAAATTCAATCAAACTGCTCTAAACATGGTTCATAGCATTTTACCCTGCCAGGCACACAGAGAGCATGATAGCTCAAAAAGTGTCCTGCAGAAAAGGACAGAGCAAGGCCAGCCTTCTGAAGTTCTGACTTCCTGCTGCAAGCTAAGCCCCGACCGCCTCCATTGGGAGGGCTGGATTTGTACCTAACACCAAAATAAACCTGGAAATAATCATTACAGCTTGCAAGAGCACAAAGAGTCTAAGTTCCTATTATTTGTTACTTACATCTTGAAACATTTTGCTTTCTTGTTTTAACTTAGCTTCTTTATCATCTGAAAGTTTGTAAGCATTCTCAAATGCTTCTTCTAAATCCTGAAGTCTAGATTTTAGTCGAATGATGGTATTGTCTTTTTCTTTATTGCTTGTTCTCATTTCCTCAATTCGTTCCTGCAAAATTTTGGAAGTACTGCTGGCTGCACTGAAGCGTTCTCTCAAATCATTCTACAAAATAAAGATGAAGACAAGGTATTTTAAATGAAAAGATAGAAGCCACAATATATTATGGGCATTACAATTCCAAAGAAAGCATACAAATAGAAATAAATAAGCTTAATACTTTCATTTATCCTGAGATGGAGAATCTAGAAAGAATTACTCTACTAGAACAACGCCTTGAAATTATGCTAAGGTAGAAAACACTAGGGTCATAGGCCCTATGATTCCAGGACTCATTAAGCTAATAGCACCTATGGATCACCTTATGAGGAAAAAATAAGCACCACTATGAGAGAAATTATTCTGAAAGTAGAGCTGGAATTTATTACCCAACATTAATATTTGGAGGGGAAGCATTTCTTACCAATTCTCTCACTATAAAAAAAGAAAATTCAGCCTGGGGATTTAGCTCAGTGGTTCCGCTGCCTGCCTTGCAAGCGCAAGGTGCCAAGTTTGATTCCCGGTACCAAAAAAACTCACAAAAAACAGAAAATTCAAAATGCATCTGATATGTTGAAATTTATTCAGCAATTATTTTTAGAAAAGCCACAATGTGCCAGGCACTAGGGTGCTATAAATTTAAGATTGAAGCTAGGCAAGGTGGCATGCCAGTAGTCTCAGCTACTGGGGAGGCTGAGGCAGGAGGATCACTCAAGCACAGAAGTTTGGGATAAGGCTGGAAAACACAGTGAGACCCCATCTCAAAACAAAACAAAACAAAAATGTTAAGTCAACAACAAAGTTAGTAGCTCCTAACTTCATATAGTTTACAGTTTAGGAGGAGACAAAGATTACTTACAAAAGCATCAAAGACAGAAACAATGTACAGAACAAAACATGCATTTTCCACCAAAATTTTGTTTACAGAGTTACATATAAAAGAATAAAACTTGCTAAAACCTAGGGAAATAAAGTAAAAGTTAATGCACTCCTAGTTATCTATTCAAGGAAACTAAAAACAAGGGTCGAGGATTTAGCTCAGTGGTTCTGCCACCTGCCTCGCAAGCACAAGGACCCAAGTTCAATCCCCAGTACCAAAAAAAAAAAAAATCTGGAAACTAAAAAATTGTGCACATAAAATCTTGTACAGAGGGCACCCCCTTCAGGATCCCTCCTGTCTCTCAGGGGCTATTCCAGTTGCCCATTCCGATTTCCCAATAAATTATCCTAGTCTCAAAAAAAACAAAAGCAAAACTCTTGTACCAAGAGAAAAATGTGGCTAGGTGGTAGAGCATGTACTCAGCATGCTCAAAGCCCTGGATTCAATCTTTAATCCCTAGCACAAAAAGAAAGTACACATCCAAGGCAGTATTATTCTTAATAGCCAAAAGATGGAAACAATCTGAACACCCACCTCCTGATGAATAAACAAAATAGGACATCCACACAACAGAATACTGACCTTAAAAAGGATTATGTACTGATAGTTGTTGATAAAGTTAAAAACAGAAGTGAAAGAGGCCAGGCATAAGAGGCCACATGGCCCATGATTTTATTTACATCCAATGTCCTGAACAGAGAAATCCACAGAAATAGAAAGAGAAGCCAGGCAGGGTGATTGTCTCAATATCAAGGCCAGCCTGAGCTACATCGTGAGTTCAAGGCCAGCCTGGACTACACAGTGAGACCTTGTCTCTAAAAAACAAAAAGAAAGAGGAAGAAGGAGAGGGAGAGAGAGAAGGAGAAAGAGAGGGGAGGAGGAGGAGGAGGAGGAGGAGGAGAAGAAGAAAAAAACAGAAAGAGAAGCTGTTTGTGGGGGTTGGGACAGAAACATCTGGGGTGATGCCAAAGGGATATGAAGTTTCCTCCCCTCACACCCCCTGTACTGGGAATTGAACCTAGGGAGCGCTGAGGCACACCCTCAGCTCTTTTTAAAATTTCATTTTGAGGGCTGGGGATGTAGTTCACTGGCACCATGCCTGCCTGGAAAGCACAAGGTTCTGAGTTTGATCCCCGTACCAAAAAATTTTATTTTCAGACAGGGTCTCACTAGGCTAGACTTAAACTTGCAATCCTCCTGACTCAACATCCCCAGTAGCTAGGATTACAGGTGAGTACAATCACACTTAGTTGGAATTCCTTTTTTTTTGTTGGTAACAGGGATCGAACTCAGGACCTTGCACTTACAAGGCAGGTGGCCACATTACTGAGCTAAATCTCTGGCCCTGGAATTCCTTTCTGACTGAGGAAAATGTACATAATTGATAATGAAGATGATTACATACCCAATTTACTAAATATTGAATTATATACTTTGAATGGATGAGTTTTACAACATTCAAATTATATTAAAAAGTAAACAAAATATTTGAGAGGATAAAAGCATATAGTAATACATGAAGCCACCAGTAATGAAAATACAAACCTACTTAGTAAGATCGTTAAGAAGAAAATGTTATAACAAAATGAGTTCCTTGCATAGGAGTAGGCAAAGACTTCATGAACAAAACCCAGACTGCACAGGAAATACTACAAAGAACCAACAACAGGGCCAGGGATTTAGCTCAGTGGTTTCACTGCCTGCTGCGCAAGCGCAAGGACTCGAGTTCGATCCCTGGTACCAAAAAAACAAAACAAAACAAAGAACCAACAACTGGAACCTCATCTTATTAAACAGCTTTTGCACAAAAAAGAAACCACCAACAGAGTGAAGAGACAACCCACAGAGTGGGAAAAATTTTTTACCAGCTATTCATCAGATAAAGGACTATTATCTAGAATATATAAAGAAATCAAAAAAATCAGACACTCCCCCAAACTGAAAGACCCATTGCAAAACTGGGCATCTGAAATAAAAAGACACTTCTCAGATAAAGAATTAGAAACAGCAAATAAATATAAGAAAAAAAGTTCAACATCACTGGTATTCTGAGAGATGCAAATGAAAACAACGCTGAGATTCCACCTCACTCCAGAAAAAATAGCTGCTATCAAGAAATCAACCAATAACAAATGCTGGCGGGGCTGTGGGGAAAAGAAACCCTTCTCCACTGTTGGTGGGAGTGCAGACTGGTGCAACCACTGTGGAAATCAGCGTGGAAATTCCTCAAAAAACTAAAACTAAAGGTTCCATTTGACCCAGCTGTACCTCTTCTTAGTATCTTCCCAAAAGAATTAAAAGCATCATACCACAGCAAAATATGTGCACCCATGTTTATAGTGGCACAGTTTGTAATAGCTAAAGCTTGGAAACAGCCCAAGTGCCCAACAACTGAGCAGTGGATAAAGAAGATGTGGTTTTTTTATACAATGGAGTACTATTTATAGCTAAATGGATGGACCTTGAGACCATTAAGTGAAATAAATCAGACCCACATGTTTAAATATTGCATTGTTTCTCTGCTGAGAGAAACTGAATGCGGAAATGAGGACTGAGATGTATAATGGATGGGAAATGGGAAGAAAGTGTTCAAATGGGAAGGGGAACAAGGGAGGAGGGAAGGAGAAAGGAAGGAAGGGACAAGAAAGAAAGTGAAAACAGAAGGAAAAAACAGAAACAAAGCTTTTGTACATAGGGAGGGGAGGGGGCTTGGGGGGTAGAATAAAATAAAATTTATTAAAAAATGAGTTCTGTTGATAAAATGTTTTTTTAATCATTAAGCCACTAGGATAAAAAAACAGAAAAAAAAAACTGTGTACATCCCATGTAACAGAAAGGGCAACAATAAAATAACAATCCTAAAGAAAGAGTATGGCAGAAAAAAACCCCAGAAAAAAGAGGGTACTTACCACTTCTATTTCCAGAAAGTTATTCTTATTTTCCAATGTTCTCACACAACCAGTAGCTTCAAGCAAAGCACTATCTAACTGGCCACATCTAAAAGCCATAAGTATATTTTCAATTAGAAAGTAAAATAACTTATTTTAAAAGTACATTAAAAAAAAAGAATTTAAAAAAACAATAGCATTACATAAATCTAACTGACCCACCAATACATAAAACTAATCTCCAGTGTGAGTTAAAACCAAGATGCCATTTTAGTAAAATACGTCCCAAAGAACTATATGATATTCTAGTACCTCAAGAAAGTAACAGGCTAGAATAACCATATAAAAAGATCCCTAAAAAATATTAAGTGGGGGTTGGGGAAGTAGCTCAGTGGCAAAACATATGCATAGCATGTGTGAAGGCCTGGTTCAATCATTAGCATCAAATAATAATAATAAAATAAATTAAGTGAAAAAAGCATAGTATGAACAGATATTTAAATACTCATGTTCACAGTAGTACTCTGCACAACAGGCAAGAGGTGGAAGCAACACAAATGTCCTTCAACAGATAGATAAAAATATACACATTGGATTGAATCTTTTTTTTTTTTTTTTTGGAACCGGGGATAGAACTTGGGACCTTGCACTTTCGAGGCAGGTGCTGAAACCACTGAGCTAAATCCCCGGCCCAAAGAGTTTTGTGTTTTTTTTGGGTACCGGGGATCAAACTTGAGTCCTTGTGCTTTCAAGGCAGGCAGCAGAACCACTGAGCTACATCCCCAGCCCTGAATCTTAAAAAGGAAGGAAATTCTGCTATGTGCTGTGACATGCTGAGTGAGACGAGTCAATTACAGAAGGACAAATACTGTATGATTCTACTTACTTTAGGAGTCAAATTTACAGAAACAGAAAGTAGAATAGTGGTTGCCACGGACTGGGGAAAGGGCAACAGGGAGCTACTGTTCAACAAGCAGAGAACTTCAGTTTTGCAAAACAAAAATAATTCTGGACATGAGGGGAGCGACAGCTGCACAACATGAATTATATTTAAGCCACTGAACTGTACACTTAATGGTAAATTGTGTTCTAGTTAAAATTAAAAATTTTAGGGCTGGGGATTTAGCTCAGTGGCACCGTGCCTGCCTAGCAAGCGCAAGGTCCTGAGTTCGATCCCTGGTACCAAAAAAAAAAATTTTTTTTTTAAGGCCAGGCATGGTGGTGCACACCTGTAATCACAGTACTTGGCACGCTGAGGCAGGAGGGTCATCCCGAGTTTAAGGCCAACCTGGGCTATATAGCAAGATCCTGTCTCAAAAAAAACAAAAGAGGGCCAGGGATTCAGCTCAGTGGTTTCGACGCCTGCTGTGCAAGTGCGAAGACCCAAGTTCGATCCCCAGTACCAAAAAAAAAAAAAAAAGAAAAGAAAAGAAAAAAATTAAAACTTTAAAAAAGCAAGATAGAGAAATCCACACAAAATATCTTGATCTTATTTGTGGAAAAAGAATCTACTCGTGTGGATTATGATTGCTGGAAGGATGCAAACAATTGATGTTGATACTAAAGGTTAGATTAGGGAGACTTACTTATTATCAAACTTAGCCTGAATGTATTATTCTTATAAAAACTTTCTTTGTAAAATTAATTACCATAGATTCTCAAAATAACAAAATACATAGAATTCAGCTATTTTGACTCAGTGTTTAATGATGTACTGTGAATAATGAAAGCATTACTTATGTAGGACTCACTATGTACCAGGTCTATGTTATACACTTCATATTTATCCTCATAATCTTTTAAATTAAATTAGGATCAATCAGTCCCGTTTCAGAAATGAGCAAACCAAAAGTGGTTAGTCCTCAGCTGAAGGCCCCAAGGTGGGTAAGCAGCCTCACTGAGGTTGTCTGGTAGGCTTTGCGGTACTGGAGACTGAACCCAAAGGACACACTGCCACTGAGCTGCATTCTCGGCCCTTCCCTGGGATTCTAAGCCAGGCAGCTAGGAGTTCCTGCTCCTAACTCCCAGGCCTAACATGCTCAAATGAAATACTGACAGGATTGGTTCTTTTTGTTTTGCTTTGTTTCCAGTGCTGATGATCAAACCCAGAGCCTCACTGAGCTATGCCCCTCAGCCTGGTAAGACTGTTCTTGAAAGAAACATCATCTAATTAGTAGAGTATAAGCGTGCTAACTGGATTCTACCTTTTCTTGGGGGGGGGTACAGGGGATCCAACTCAGGTCCTTGTGCTTGTGAGGCAGGTGGCAGCACCACTGAGCTAAATCCCAGGCCCTGGATCCTACCTTTTTTTTTTTTTCTTTTTTGGTGCCGGGAATTGAACTCGGGCCCTTGTGCTTGCGAGGCAGGCAGCAGAATCCTACCATTTTTATTACCACACTGATTCTGCTATCCCAGCTATCACTGTCCCCGGAGTTGCAGCTATGCAGCCATAATGGTCTGTTACCACACCTGGCCTGCAACATAAGCATTAATGGCCTTATTTGCAGTACCAGTGGAATTTTCAATTTGCAATTTTAAGTTTCTTGGAAAAAAAACAAAACGGGTATATGCACTGATAACAGTGATTTTTGTCTTAGAATTATCTTTCCAGTTCTAAATGATTGCAACTTATCATTTTGCTTCTACTGTCCTTTGTAACACAGCTTTCTGTTGTAAGCTAGATCAAATCCTTTTGGCAAGCAAGAGAAAACTGCACTCACCTGCAAGGCATTGTTACACTGACTGCATGCACCCCAGCCCGCACTGTCGTTAACTGTTGCAACACAGCCACTGATTTAAAGCCTTGCCTTCTCGCTGCTCCATCTCTAGGTACTAACTGATGCACACACTAGCACCTCCTGGACAGCAAGATGCTCTAATTAGCTACTGTTCACTGGGTGGCTTCATCAGGACCCTATGTTTAACATCAAAAAGCCACCCTGGGTGGCAACACACCTGTTTCCACCAGGAATTACCTGTTGTCATCACTGCCCTTTTTGGGGGGGGGGGGGGGAACAGGGTCTCACTATGTGGCTTAGGCTGGCCTTGAACTCACCAGGACCTCAAACTCGCAGAGATCCTCCTGCCTCAGCCTCCCAAGTGCTGGGATTCCAGGCATGCACCACCATGCCCAGCTTATTAGTTTCTTTTGTTTTGTTTTGTTTTTGTTTTTTTGAGAGACAGTCTAAGTTGCAAAATTGCCCAGGCTGGGCTTGAACTTGTAATTCTCCTGCCTCAGCTTCCCACAGTGCTGGGATTTATAGGCACATGCGACCACCAAACCTAGCTAAGTCATCAAAGACTCCGTAGTACTAATCTTCCCATAAATGATATGGGAAGACTGTACATATACAAAGTCTGCTTGTTTCCATACTTTGCCCATAGGAAGTCCATGACTTCATGTCAGTTATTCGTGTATTATATGAGATTGGTTCAAAGCTTTAAAAGTACTTAGGCCCAGGCACAGTGGCAAATGCTATGCAATGCTAGCTATGCAGGAGAGTTTTTCACAAGCTCGACAAGAGCCTGAACGACCAGCAAGACTCTTTCAAAATAAAAATTTTCAAAAGGGGCTGGAAATGTAGCTTAGTAGCATGTGCAAAGTAGTAGCTTGTCCAGCATGTGCAAGGCCCTACATTCAATTCCCCAATACCACACATGCATCCACACACAATTACTTGGCAAATGTCTCTCTGCTAAAATTCAAATCCAAAATACATGCTTTCTGGGCTGGGGATTTAGCTTAGTGGTTCCGCTGCCTTCCTCACAAACAGGTCCCTGAGTTCAATCCCCAGCACGAAAAAAAAAATGCTTTCAAAGTGTTTTTTTTAATCATAATATATTACACTTATGTGGAAGGAGTATGTTCAAGTTGCAGAAATGCTAACATCAGTTATATTTTACCTATCTATAAGAATTTGGTTGGTTTTCTTCCACTCTTCAATTGCAGAAGTTTCTTTTGCCTCTAGCTTCTGCTTCAAACTATTTATTTCTGATTCATAATAAGCACGAAGATCTGCTATGTGTCGAGCATGCTTTTCCTTCAGGTTCTGCCTAATCCTGTTGGTGAGAGCAAAAGGCATCATTAGGAAAGCACATCCCCCTTTCTATCCTGTAAGACAAACCAAGAGCACAGTCATTCTTCCAGGCAAAGTACAGACTGCTTACTTTGCATATCCCCAGAAAACAGTCGACGCTCCACATGCTCCAGCAGCTTCTATACTTAAGAATGTTCTAATTCACTATTGCCTACTGGGTGCCTTTGTCAGCACCTTGTCTTTATCTCACAAGGGGCCTGGGGATGTAGCTTAGTGGTAGGGCACCTGCCTAGGATGCATGAAACCCTAGGGTTTTTAATCCCAGCACCAGACCAAAGAAAAAATTGACAATAAAGTGAAAAAGACACAAATAACTTAGTTTTTAGATGCTCTTGTCTTAAAAATGCTGCATGTCTTTAAGATTTTATACATTACTGAGTTTCGATAAAAATCATTTTCATTACTCAAACATCATAGAAAATCTATTAACATTACAAGCCATTCACTGAAATACATACTTAGACAATATCACAGGATCTTCCAGAGAAGTCAATGAAATGCATTCTGGGACACTGTTGGCTGTACCTGGAAGCTGGGACTGACTGACCGAGGCTGAAGCTGCCATGACAGTGTTTTCTTCATCTACAGTGTTGACCGAGATGTCATTGCTGGTCAACGTATATACTGAAGGAAATGGGGAATTGGTCCTACTTTCGTTTTGGAATGTATGGTTCTTCCAGGAGTCCACTGGTGAGGCTTTTGTATTTGAAGGGTATTTTGGGAACCCGGATAATTGAGAAGTGACATTACTTGCTTGTGAAAAGGAGTCGATGTCAGAGTGACTCGACATACTTGGTTCCAGAACAGAGTCTGGTGAGTAAGATATTCTGTCATCAAGGGCATTCAGAAAGCCACATGTTTGAGTCCCTGAAATCTGCTGATTTGGCTTCATGTGCAACGTCGGATCCAAAGTCAGTACCTAGAAATAAGATAGACAACCTTAAGGTCCTCCCTTGGTACCCAGCTTCTTTTGTTGCATTTAAGTGAGAAGTTCTCCTAGGGAAAAGAAAGCTCACAGTCAAAGTCAGAGCCATGAAACATCTTTCATGTGCACTCAGCAGAAGGTTGACAACTTTACCTCTGGTGGATGGTTTGGGTTGGAAGCAGAAGTGAGATTCCTCTCAGGTAACTGCTTGTTTTCCCTTTGTTTTTTATGATAAATATCCTTCAGTGATGGTAGCTTCATCTCATTACTAGTATTAGACTTAAAGATAAATAAAATTATTTAAATGAAATTATCAATGACAAGAAAATTTACTGATATCAAGATCAGCACCATAAAAATTTTTTGAAAGTTTTAAATAAGTTGAAAATGTAGACTGTCAGACTAACAATACAAGTTGAAAAATCATTTTCTATTGACAAGATAGGGGAAAATATCATATGTCCTAACAATGAGTAGTAAGGGAAAAATCTCAATTATCTCAATTATCTAAAACCTAAATTATCTAGCAGCACATGACTAATTCCAAAGAATAAAATTCTTGGTATCTGCAGTATGGTTTAAATCTTGAATGTCCTCCAAAGGCTCCCGTGTCAAAGGCTTGCTCTTCAACCATGCTATGGAGACTGTGGAACCTTTAAGAGCTGGGGCCTAAAGTAAGGAAGCTGGGCTGGTGGGGCTGTTACCCCCAACATCTAGGAAGGAGATCCTAGAACTCTGGTCTCTTCCTTTCTCTGTTTGCCTCCAGGCCTCCATGAGGTGAGCACCTTCTCTGCCTCGTGCTCCCTCCACGATGTACTGACTCTCAAGACCAGAAGCAGCACGGCCAGTGACCATGGACTGAAACCTCTGAAGCCAAAAGCCAAAATAACTCTTTCCTCCTGTTGTTTATCTTACATATTTTGCCACAGTAACAAACGGCTGACTAGCAGTCTCCTCACTCAAAATAAGAACCAAGTTTTGAGGTGAAGAAAGATTTCACAGTCAATGACTAAAGCAGGACAAGAAAACTTTTGGCCAAATTAACTTCATGTGACTCAGGGTAAAAGTATCAAGAAATGGAGTTCCAGGGCCAGGGATTTGGCTCAGTGGCTGTGCTGCCTGCCTCACAAGTGCAAGGACCCGAGTTCGATCCCCGGTACTAAAATAAGAAAAAGAAATGGAGTTCCTTACTACATAATTATATTGATTTTTTAAAACAGTTGGCAGACCAAAAATAAACCTGTTAGAGGCTGAGAGTTTAGCTCAGTGGTTCCGCCACCTGCTTTGCAAGCACAAGGTCCTGAGTTCTATCCCCAGTACCAAAAAAAAAACCTGTTAGATACTCAATGAAAATAAACTCCTTTATTAATTAGTAAAATAAGATTTAATCCTAATTTTTAAAGCTGGAAATCAGGGCTTTGCTATAATAAAAATGTCACAAAGAGTTAGTCTAAGTTCCAAATACTGAAATTTTGAGCTTTATTTATTTCAAGAGGGACCTACTATAGGGTTTGCTAATCCTGGGCCTCAAATTTAAACTGTAGACATAGTCTCCAATGAGATCATAGATTCAGGAAGAGATATACTGAAAGAATAGTCATCATATAACTTTAAATTTAGTTCCATTTCCAAACCTCCGAGGACTGCAGATTTTTTTTTTTTTTTTTGAAACGGAGTCTCATTATGTTGCCCAGGCTAGTCTTGGACTTCTGTGCTCAAGCCATCCTCCCTCCTCAGTCTACATAACAGGCATGTGCAACAGCACCCAGCTTACTATGAATTAATATTTTTAAATAAATTATTTAGCTTGTGAACAGAACCATTAATTATATTTTCCATGTATAAATTAAAGACATTAATTTATTAAAACTAAGCTCTTAACATACCACACTTCCCATAATCCTGCTTGAGAATTCCACTATTTAGATAACAACAACCTGAAGGCCTTTTTCAAGCCCTGACCTTGTGGCAAGGAGCAGCACTATCTATGGCCAAGGCCACACTCAGAGGAGCCTGCCCGGTGGCCTGGGTGAACAGCTGGAGCTCATAGGTATAGCTCATGATATGTTTTTTTTTTTCTGGTACCAGGGATCAGACTTGGGACCTTGCTCTTACAAGGCAGGCGCTGGAACCACTGAGCTAAATCCCTAGCCCATGGTATAGCTCATAAGAAGTACCATGCTTCACTTGTTCTATGATGTCATTTTTTTTAACATATTCTAATATCTCTGAAGATGCCTCTTGTAATTACCGGCATCTTACAATTTCTTTTAGCCAAGTAATAGCTGTGACATAATTGTCAGTGCCTGCTCAAAAGCAAGTATCAAAAACAAAAAAGTGTTCACATAGGTGCTAACAGCTTGGAAGAAAATCCTACAGACTACAATGGAATTTCTGAGAACCAATATTTAAGGGAAGGGCTATTCGCCCACGTTTAGCAACATGTTCCATCCTGTAGTCAAAAGTAAGCTAGTTCTACATAATTATTAAGGCAGGTAAAAACCCAGCACCAAAGCCTTATGTAGTTTTTTAAAAGAAATGCTGAATCACTAATACTCTTGGCGGCCTGAAAGAAAATATGTACAAAAGCAAAGAAACCAACAGTGAGCTGAAAAGAGAGGTATAAATAGGTGAAGACGTTTTGGCCAATTGTATTTCACTTACATTTTCCTTTTTTAAAGTTTTATAAAGAAATAAAAAGTTGAAAAGCTTTTCCCATAACAAAATATAAATTTGAAGAGATAAGAAAGCACTATATTGGTCTAATTTCTAAAATTCTTGGTAGAATATGAAATGGGGGCCAGAGATTTAGCTCAGTGGCACCGCACCTGCCTGGCAAGCTCAAGGTCCTGAGATTGATCCCAGGCACCCAAAAGGAAAAAAAAAAAAAGAATATGAAATGGGAGGTCATAAAATTGATGACATCTTAGATTCAATTAATAGTATTAATTTATTGATGTTCAAGATCTAATAACATGGTAAGCCCCATCAACGCAAAGCCTATTAAGTTTTCTGTCCCTGTACAACCTCACCTCCCCCAGCTTCACTTCTTCTTGTGTTTATCTCCCTCCCTCTCTCTCTCTCTCTCTCTTTCTCTCTCTCTCTCTCTCTCTCTCTATTTGCTCAAGTTTGGGGTGGTAGTTTTTGTTATTCTCTGGCTCCTGCGGCCCCATCTATCCACACATATCACTGTTTTTTGCATCCTCTTTGGTTACTTCAATTATATCACTCCCTTTCCCAATCTACTCCCTTACTGCCTAATCAAACTATAGAAGTGAAATATGTACAACAATGTGTACATACTGAACAATTTCACTTCTTTGCTCTGAAGTAAACAAAATATTCACATTTCTTATCCAAAGAACATACAACAAATTAAACTGTGCATAATTATGGTATAAATGGATTAGCAGAAGGTGTGACAGGACAGAAGGCCAACATCAGGTCTAGGAGAAAGTGAAGTTACTAGCCAAGGACTATTTATAAAACAGTGAGCACAAAAGCCTTCATTTAATTTCACAAAATACCAACAGGACATTTTAAATTCCATTTAAAGTAACTTTTCTAAAATTACATAGTAAAAAATAACAGAGACAGAATTTCAAATCGAGTATGACCCTAGAGCTTATGCTTTTCATACTGTGTCAGAAGTTGGAAAATGCCAATAATCATAGTGCTCACACATGGTGTGTTTCTAAATTACCTGGCTTGGTGACCTATCTGCAGAGGACAGTATGAGTGATTTCTCCACAGTTTCAGGCAAAGAGTGATACATGTCCTTCTTGTCCAGTTTCCAATAAGTCAGTCCTAATGTGCACAAATATGCAGAGTGGAAAGAAGTGAGAAAAAAGAGAAAAAATGCTTTCTATAATAACTTATCTCCATCCAAAGCAAACTAAAAATAAAAAGGAACTAGTTTTTGGCTGTGGTAACAGCAAGCTAAATTTTTATGGGGAAAAGAGTTCCATAAATGCCTTATCATGTAAGAAACCTCATTTAATAATGTAAATATATATAACTGAAATATTATTAAAATCTCAAATGATGTAGTACAACTTGAATATATTTTATTATTTTTTACTTTATTAGTCCATGTTTGCAGCACATAATGGTTGTATTAATTGTGGGGAGTTGTACATGTACATGATACATCTGAACTCAGAATATATGTTTAAGCCGACAATTTTTTAATAGTGTAGACTTACATAGAATCTACATAAAGAATTTAACAATTAGCTGGGTGTGGTGGTGAAGCTGAGGCAAGAGGACTGCAAGTTTGAACCAACCATGGGCAATTTAGTGAGACACTATCTCAAAATAAAAAATGAAAAGAAGGGTTGGGGATGTAGCTCAATGCAAAGCCCCTGGGTTCAATTCCCAGTACCATGAAGGAAAAAAAATCAGTAATTCAAATATTTACTAAGCATCTACTATGCCAGGCTGGGCAGCAGGAGATGAATAAATCGTGCAGAATGCACAGTAGGTTTTATCAAGAGTAACAACCTAGTGGGGCAGCAGGAGGATGGTCAGGGTGGCTCACAGGGCTGTGTAGAGGTAACAAGTAAGAGGGAACTGGTGAGCGAGTTTCCTGGTGGAGGCAATTTCAGGCAGAGAAAGCAGCCACCTCAGAAGCCTAACTGGAGGGCAGACCTGGAGGATGTGAGCAGCCTTCCTGCTGATGGAGAGAAAGGAAGGGAGTAGCAGAAGGTGTGGACAGAGGGAAGGAAGGGGCCGCTGTCCTGCTGGGCCTCTGAAGGTGGCTGTTACTCCGAGAAGCAGATTACTGCAAGGTTCTGAGCAGGAGTCTCTTGAGCTGCCCTAGCTTTTCAAAGGGTACCTTGAGCCACCATACTGTGAATACATTGAAGGGCACAAAGAGGAAGCAGTACGGCTAGTCAGGAACCTGCAGCAACCAGGGGACAGCTGAGGTGCCTCGTCAGGGTGGCAGCACTGGAGGTGGGAAGTAGCTGGATTCTGGAAATTTTTGCAAGGCAAAGTGAATTCACTCAGATGAACTGGATGTGAGATGCCGAGAGAGGGGGAAACAAGGCATGAATATATAAATCCAGTAAGACTAGCAGAGCTCACTGGAGAGTGCAGAGCACAGCTCACAGAGGGTTTGAACTTGTCAATGCATTTGGGAGCAACTGAAAAAGGCTGCAACTGCACCTCTGCCCTCTATCTTCACAGAACTGGTAATGCCAATTAAGCCAAAAAAAGAAAGGTTCCCAAAGGAACAGCACAACACATGGGACATTTACTGAAACCACTCTGGTATATGATTTCAAATTTAGAACAAAATTTAATTAAAGAAAACCTCTTTAAAAGTTTAACCCAGGGCCAGGGACTTAGCTCAGTGGCACCACACCTGCCTTGCAAGTGCAAGATCCTGAGTTCGATCCCCGGTACTGCAAAAAAAAAAAAAGTTTAAGCCAGGTGTGGTGACACATGCCTGTAATTCAAACACTCAGGAGGCCAAGGCAGGAGGATCACTGTGTGTTTGAGACCAGCCTGAGCTACATAACGATACCCTGTATCAACAAACAACATCAATAACAAAAACTTAAGTTCCATACCTGTTCCTGAATTAGACATCCAAGAATTTGGACTTTCATCTGGTTTACTGAGGTAAAAAGCACGAGGATGTGCAGCAGCAGCAAAATCAGACTGCAATTCAAGAAAGAAAACAGTTGGTGGGGAGCTGAAAATCACAAGGCACACACTGCTGACAGGAGTGAGAGTCAGGTGTTGCAGCTGGGCAAGGGAGCACTGTGGAGAGGCCATGCAGAACACCTGGTTTCCTTGTGTTGCATGAGCAGAGAGTGACAGGGTTAACAAAGAAGGCTTTCCTTTTCTTTTTTTTTTTTTTTTCCAGGACTGAGGATGGAAGCAGTGCCTTGAACATGCTACGAGTGACCTACACGCTCAGCCCTGTTCATTTTGAGACAGAGTCTCACTAAATTGCTCAGACTGGCCTCAAACTCTGATCCTCCTAACCTCAGCCTCACAAGTAGCTGGGATTATAAGTGTGTGCCACTGTACCCAGCTCAAACTTCCTTTCCCTGTGTAATTGGTAAAAGTTTATTTTGGTTCTCTGTGGAGTTGGAAGGAGAAAGCTGAGGGCAGGAATTACCTAATGAGTTCAGAACTAAAATGTTATTTATAATCTGTCATCTACTTTCAAAAGAGATTTGAGGTGCCTGGAATTAAAATCACTTAGACCGGGCATGATAGCACACATCTTTAAAAATCCTAGCAGTCAAGGAGGCTGAGGGAGGAGGATTGCAAATTTTGAGCTCAGCCTGGGCAACTTAGCAAGAGTCTGTCTCAAAATTTTAAAAAAATTTAAAAGACCTGGAGATATAGCTCAGTTCTAAGTCCCTGGCTTCCTCAGTACCACAAAAAGAGTCATTGTGTAAGTCATTGGTAAAAAAATTAATGTTTCAAAGCCTTAATGATTCATTTTTATCATTATAAATATAATAAATCAAATTAGCTCTGAACACCACAAATCAATAATATGAATCTTAAGTAGCAGATTACTTCTTTTTTGTGTGTGTTTTGTACCTTTTTTTTTGGTTAAATTCTTTTATTGGTACATTTTAGGTATACAGTATGTTTACATTTATCATTGGGTGCTTGTACCTGTACATGATGTATCTTGGTTCTTATTTCTTTCCCCATTACCTGTGCTCCCTTCACCCCCTCCACCCTTCCCTATTTACATAGACTTCGTTTCCATTTTTCCCTTTTCTTATAATTTTTCCTTTCCCTTCTTTCCCCTTCCCCTCCCACTTCCCCAACCCCTTTGAACCTTTTCTTCCTATTTCAAATTATCAATTATTCATTTTAACCATTTTAATCTTTATTTACACTTTGTTTCTCACACTAGAGAAACTATTCGGTATTTACACATGTGTGTCCTATTTATTTCACTTAAGAAGATGGCCTCAATATGCATGCATTTACCTATAAATATCTCTAGTTTCTCATTCTTTATGGCTGAGTAGTACTCCATTTTATTTTATTTACTTATTTTTTTGGTACCAGGGATCGAACTCGGGACCTTGCGAGGTAGGCGACGGAACCACTGAACTAAATCCCTGGCAGTATTCCATTTTATATAAAAAAACACAACACATCTTCTTTATCCAGTTTCCAGTTGACGGGCACTTGGGCTGCTTCCAAGCTTTAGCTATTACAAACTGTGCCGCTATAAACATGACTGCACATATGTCGCTGTGGTATGATTCTTTTCTTTTGGGAAGATACCCAGCAGGGGAATAGCTGGGTCAAATGGGACTTCCAGTCCTAGTTCTTTGAGGTATCTTCATACTGATTTCCACAGTGGTTGCACCAGTCTGCACTCCCACCAGCAATGGAGCAGTGATCCTCTTTTGCCACAGCCCAGCCAGCATTTGTTATTGGTTGATTTCATGATAGCAGCCATTCTTTCTGGGGTGAGGTGGAATCTCAGTGTTGTTTTCATCTGCATCTCTCGAATGACCAGTGATGTTGGACATTTTTTCATATGTTTATTTGCTGCTTTTACTTCTTTGTCTGAGAAATGTCTGTTCATTTCAGGTGCCACAGATTACTTCTTATACACACACAACTAGGGGCCGGGGATTTAGCTCAGTGGTTCCAGCGGCTGCCTCGAAAGTGCAAGGTCCTGAGTTCGATCCCCGGTACCCAAAAAAAAAAAAAAATTCACACACACAACTGGCTGCTTTTAGTCCCAAAAAAGACTAAAAATGCTTATTATTGGGCCAGGGATTTAGCTCAGTGGTCCCGCCACCTGCCTTGAAATCCCAAGATCCCGAGTTCGATCCCCAGTACCAAAAAAAAATGCTTATTAATGATTCTGAAAAAATTCTGAATCTCTCCTCAGAGTGTCTGACACTGTCACAAGAAATCTGTGTTATCAAACAGATATGTGACATGGATATTTCCATCAAAACTTTTCTTATCAGGTCCTCTAACGCTGAACTTTTTATTACTGCCAGCCATAAGGCACATATCCCTAATCCTAGCCACCTGGGAGACTGAGGCAGGAAGATCTCATGTTCCAGGCTAGGCAACTTAACAAGACCCTGGGGGTGTGGGGCATCTGGGACTGTGGCTCAGAGCCAGAGCACTTGCCCAGCTTGGTACTGAAACAAACAAACAAATAAGTTTCATCCTGTTAAACGTCTCTAAGTTGTATTTGTTCACAACCATCCTGCAGCCACTGCAAAAGGAGGAATAAGTGAGGCGTAACACTGACTGAGGGGCAGGGGATAATCCTGTCAGCCTCATAGGACACCACCCAGCCTCTTTACCCAGAGAAATTCCTTGGTTTCTTTGAAAACTCCTACCTGCTCAAAGGTGTGTCCACACTTAAGAAGACTGGGAAAGGTGACTGGAGAAGACTGAAGCAAATAATCCAAGGGAGACAGGCAGGCCTCACGCACCACAGCTCTGGGTGGCAACTTCAGCAGCCTCTCAACCCGCAAGACTGGAGGCGCCTCCGGCAGGCACGATGCGGAGGAAAGGAAGACCAGGGTGCAACAAGAAGCCTCTCTCAAGCAGAGACCCCCAGCCCGGGGACCACCCCCCCCCAGCTCTGCCACCACCCAGCAGCCCTCCTGGAAACCCCAAGAAGCGCTTCACCCCATGAAATGGAGACATCACTGTCCAGACAAGCAACCACGGCAACAAAGAACAACCTGAGGGGCCGGGGATTTAGCTCAGTGGTTCCACTGCCTGCCTCACAAGCAGAAGGACCAGAGTTCAATCCCCAGTATCAAAAGAATTAAAAAATTTTTAAAAAGTAAAAAAAGAACAACCTGAGCTCTGAAAACCCTCTGCTACACAATACATTATTTCAAGATGGACTTCCAAGTAACTGTAACCCAAAATAAACAGCACTGTGCAAGAAGAAGAAAAAAATTAGATCAGAAGACAATGCTGGTAAGCAGTGAAACCAAACACAATGGGAAAAGAGAATCAAGTGAAGAGTAAAGTTCCAGCTTCAGGGAATCCAGACAGCTACAAGTAAGAATGCATCTCAGGTGCATTGTTGCTGATTCACCAACCAGCACCTCCCTCCTCAAATTCACTGAAAGTTCAGAAATATCAAAGGAACTTATAAAAAGAATTAAGATGTGTTATGAACATGTACTCACTCTGCATGATGATTTAATCATGTACTGCAAATATGTACTAATAAAAACTTTTGAAGAAACAGGTACACAGTTAGCATGTAAATTTAAAAAAGGAAAAAAATATCAAAGAAACTTGAACCTGGCCCTGCTTGAACACGCCTGTGATCCCAGCACTCGAGAGGCTGAGGCAGGAGGATCAGCATGGGCTCGAGGCTACCCTGGGCTACAGTGAGTTCAAGGCCAACCTGAGCTACACAGCAAGATGCTGTCTCAAAAAACAACACAAAACAAAGAAACTTGACTTCCCTGAATGACTTCATACTAAATGTATCATTCACCTAAAAAAAAATTTTAAATTTTAAAAACAAAGAAAACAAAACTTGTCCAGCAGATGACCACAGAATAGGAAAGACTTTGAGGTAATCACCACTTTCTCCCACATCCACCCTGCCCTGCTGACTGCAAGGTGGAAGATGCTGGCGGAAGGCTTTTCCCAGCTGCACAGGAGGGCGTGCAGCTCCGTGGATCCTCCGCTCAACTGCAGCTGTTCACAGACTGAAATGCACTCCAGAATCACCGGGAGCTTTCACAACCCAGATGCAGGGCAGGGCAGTGCCAGGCTGGGCACCAGGGAGGTTGAGAACACCTGGGGCAGGCCCTGGCAATCAAGCGTGGGGACAGTGGGCCACATTCAATAGGGACCGAGTCGCAATCGCCTGCCCAGCTTGGGTTCAATCCCTGGCACTGAAACAAACAGCTTTTCATCCTGTTAAAGGAGACAAGAAAACCACAGATGCCCCCCAAGTACACAACCACAAACCCAAGGTGGAAAAGCCTTGGAGATGGGTGCAGCTCAGTGGGAGAGCCCATGCTCAGCATGGCAAGGCCCTAAATTCAATGTCCAGCACACGCACACACACGATGGTCTCAGTCTCAACCTTCTTAAAAATAGAAGAATATTCTCCCTTTATGACAACCTATCACAATGAAGAAAGCAATCTTCACCCTACTCTCCAAATGTTTTCATGCTATTGTACCGAACAAGGCCACCCCACCCTTGATGACACACAAGTTCTGAAGAACTGAACCCGCAACAGCACCACAGGGCTTTTCTGGAATAGAAACACCAACGGCACACAGGGCCTTTCCAAGGTGGAACCGCTCAGTGAGCACTAACAGGCTTTTCTAAGTTGAAACGCTTTAGGGTCAGGCAGCTTAATTCGCTTCCACTCCCTTCCTCAAAACAAATCAAGAGAAGAGAAAAAAAGGGTTATTGAGAGAAAGCTCCTGAGAGACAGGAGGGGTTCCGAAAGTGGGTTGCCACTGAGGTTCTTTGTCCAAGGACACTTTACACAGCAAAATCACAACTTGGATAGCTACGGGTCAAATTATAATCAACCTATAAGATCACAAGTACAGTCACTTAGCTAGGATTGATCTAATAGGGAACTGAAGCAGGTAGCAAGAGTTTACAGCAAGCATCACTAACTTTAGTTTATCTACAACTTCAAACACAGCAAGAATAAAGCATTCCTGGAAAGGACTAAGAGTGTGGGTCAGGGTTCCTGGTCCCCCACCTGTGTCTGATGCCCTATCTGGGCCTGCTGGACCAGGTGGTGCTAACTACAGTATAATCTCAAGCTGCTATTTATCTCTCGGGAGGCTGAAGGCCTGGCCATCAAGTCTCCATCTTGCGGCCTGACTCACAATTTTGTTTTTTTTGTTTTTGTTTTTTTTAACATGAACGCAAGTTTTATTCAAGAGATATTTAAAAAGAGGTGAATTCTAACAAACTTTACAAGTTATCCACCCTAAAGAGAAGTGGGTACCATTTATGACACACAAATTCCAACTTAACATTTCTGAATAAAGCTATAATGATTGGAGTCATTTAACTTTTGCTAATAAGGCTATCGAATTTTGTTCAGAAACTGACAGCACACACATGATCCTCTTAGAAAAAGGAGGTGCCAAGGATTTTCACTTCAGGCTGAGTACCTCTAAGTACTTAGGGTTTGTAACTTGAGACTGAACATTAGTACTACACGAATTCAATTTGAATCACCTTCACTATGATGTTTATCCACCAGATATTTTTTAGAATTAGGTCAATGTTTGTCTTTGTAATTTCTCTTCAATGTAATCTATAATGTTAATGAATATTAAAGCAACTGTAGCTTTCTTCTAAAAATTATTTGTTACAGTACAGATCACATTCTATTTCATAATTCTGATAGAGAATCTGTTTTCTGGTAATAAGCAAGAATTTAGGATGATTCAATCCTTGGAAAATAATGGTAGTCACTCACTGAAGTCAGTCACTTCTTGAGTCAAAAACACTCAGAAATTGCTATCATTGACTGAGTTTCTGGTTTTTAGTTGTTGTTTCTATTTTTGCTGGTTATTGCTTTAGTTGGTAACATCTAGATTTAAAACATAAGAACATCTCCACTAAGTCTAATGTCAAATATTACAAAATTTATACAGAACACAGACTCATAGAGGCTATAAAGCTGATGTTTTAGGTAACTCACCCTTGAAATGGGTGCAGAATTTTTAGAGGATATTCAATAACATTTTGCTCAAAAAATAAATGCCCTTACTTTTCAGAGTGTTCCCATTCTTCACTAGGAGACTGAGCAGCTTAACATTTTTGCTATAAAAACCAACCACTCGAGCAAAAATGTAAAAGGAAACCAATAAAGAACATTCTTTTTTCACAGTTAACAATAAATAAAAGTGCAGTAAGTGTTCAAGTAGGGCACGTAGTTTAAAAACTACATGTGACTATTTGGCATAGGTCATCTCTTAAAGGTTCTTCGAGGGTCCCTGCCACTACTTACTGTGGTCATGACTGTTTGATTATTAGCTGCTGCTGGGACTTGTGGACCGACAGGTCCTCGGCCATTGCTTCTACCAGCACAGGAAACCTGGTATCTCCATGATTCAGGGCCAGTTGTAACACCATTGCCCACTGGTCCAACGGTACCTGTACCAGTATTACTATTCGTAGGATTCGTCTTCTGTTCACTGTGGGCCCCTTTGTTTGGCTGTCCTCGATAATCTGGGTTGGGCTCACTGAAATTTGGCACTTCTGAATAAACCATGCAAAATTCCCCAATTTTCTGAAGCTCACCACCCCTTCCAGGATAAACTGTCAGGCATCCTTTCCACATGGACTCATACCGTCTGGTCAACCGAATAATACCCCCAGGCTGTATAAGACCTCCGATGTCATCCCACGCAGAAATAGTGATGCTGCCTGTTTTATCTACCACTTTGAATGATCTCACTTCACGGCTGTCTTTGGTTTTGGTCACAGTCCTATCTCCAGCACAATAAAGACTACATTTACATTTTTCTGTCCGGGCTTAATGTCTTTTATGACAACAGCCTGGGCGGGGCCAGAGCAGGGAAGGCCAAGGGGCAAGGGCGGTTACTGGGGACCAGGAGACAAGCCTGGCGGCCCCAAGCCAGAGGCAAAACCACTTCAGGAGAAAAACGCGAAGCACTCACCCAGCAACCCTGCTCCCAGTGAGGACAGGAGGGGATAAAGGTTGAAAAAAAGGCAGTGAGGGTACATGTCTGTGCTGGCCTGTCACACACACTCTCGGGCCCGGGAAGGCGCACGGGAGCGAAGGTGTGTCACAATTTTGATGTGTGTCATTTTCAGCACTGACTTCCTCGAGGACCCAATTCCTCCTGGCTGCCTGTTAACTCCCATCTAACTCAGCTGTGGTAACAGGACAATGGAAAGACCGTGCTGAGGATGATGAAGTCACAGTTTCTAAAGGTATCAGGTTGGCAGAGAGACCGAATTCTGCCTTCTCAATGTATTAGACCTAGCAAGGCTGAGACGGGACAGAAGGGCCCAAAGCTCTTTTTTGTTATCTTCTGCAGCTGTCCGAAATGCAGCCAGTCACGGCTGCATCAGATGCCCCACGGAAGCTCCCGCAGACCTTTTTGTTGACTGCATAAAGCTTCATGGGGCCTATCCCAGATGACTCCCCTCCACGGCCTTTCTGGATAACTCTCCCCCTCTGCAGTGCTCCCCAGTCAGGTCTGAGAGGAGTCCTTCCCCTCCCCAGGAATAAACAGACAGTCTGACACTGCGCATGTGTGAGTCTTCATCTTTTCCTACAGAACCAACCATCCACACCTTCAGCAGGTCAGTCAGCACTGCTCCATCACTGCTGCATCAGGAGTCCTAACAGAGCCTCTTTTCACTTGTTCCTGATTTCTGTCTGAATAGAGGAGCTGAGCTGGTGCACTGGCCAGCAGCCCCGACTGGGTACACTGAAGGCAGCTTGCAGATGCCAACGGACAGAGGAGAGAATAGTGGGGAGCCACCAGCTCAGATCACCAGGAGAGTTCCTGGGTCCTCTGGCTGCTGCTGGCTCTGGCTGCCACCCCAAGAGCTGACAGCCACCAGCATTCAAAGCTCAGGGCTGTGAATACTAAAAGAGCTACGCTTTGCCTATTGGTCATTTCTATCCACACTGAGTAAAAGAACTGTAAGGGATTGGTACCAGTGTTATTTTACGACAATTTAGGCCAACAAAGGCTATCCCAATGTATTGAAACTTAATGCCTACAACCCTTTAATAAAAAAAGCTTTAGCCTGCCACCTGCCTCGAAAGCAGAAGGACCCAACCGAGTTTGATCCCCAAAATAAATAAATAAATAAAAGAAGCTTTAAGTTAGCAAAGGGGCCACAGGGAATGTAAGCATTTAATTCCTTACAATTTGGATCATAAATTGAGAAATGTCTAAATATCAACTTTCTATGAAGTTATCTTAATGTGCTCTAAACTTATAGTGCTACTTCTTACAACTTAATCCAAATTATTTGAAGAGGTTTTTGTTTGTTTTCTGCTTGTTTGTCTTTGTGTTGCTATGGATCAAACCTAGGGCTTCACATATGCTAGGCAAGTACTCTAACTCTGAGCTACACTCCTAGCCCTGAAGGGGTTTTTTTGTTTTTGTTTACCAGGGATCAACCTAGGGACCTTGAGCTTGTGAGGCAGGCAGAAGCACCACTGAGCTAAATCCCCTGCCCCGAAGGGTTTTTGAGAACAATTAAATGAATTGCTCTCTGGCTAAATGTAAACATTTAGAGTATTCCTTTTTATAGGAGGTATAGTATTAGCTCTGATTTCCAGTCTACTAAAGAAGCAATATTTATGGTCACCTTTGAGACACCAAAAGAAAGGCCTGTAAATGAACAAACTAACAATACAAAAGAAAGGGTAAAAAGGTTTTGGTAATGAGTACGCAGTAAATAAACCCTAATCATCAGCAGCTGAAGCAAGCAAAACAATGACTTATCACCTACTTTCTCTGAAGGTTTCTTGCTCTGCTCATTCGCTGGCTTCGATCTTGAGCATTCATCTTCTACATGTGCTCTCTTTGGTTGGTTCTGCTTCAGTTTTTGTGCCCATGATGTTACACATTTACTACTTAAGAAAAGATACCCAAAATTATTTTCTTAAATGCTGTCCATCACACATAAGGGTAACACAGGAGGTACTGCTTTGGTGGGAAATGCTCCAAGTCATTTTTCTCATAATGTAACATGGTAATTTTTATTAACCCACCTATCTTTTTTCAAAATCTTATTCCCAAAGGCGGAGCCGGGGATTTAGCTCAGTGGTTTCCCTGCCTGCCGAGCAAGTGCAAGGACCCGAGTTCAATCCCAGGTACCAAAAAAAAAAAAAGAAATCTTATTCCCAAAGGCAAAGCAAACAAAAAGACAAACAGCGATCAACAATGCATATAGTCCATTTGAGCATGGTGGCACATGCCTGCAATCCCAGCTAGTTGGGAGGCTGAGACAGAAGGATCTCAAGTTCTAGGCCAGTCTGGGCAACTTAGTAAGCCCCTATCGCAAAAAACAAAAAGTAAAATAAATAAAAATATAAAGGGCTAGAGATGTAGCTCAGGGGTAGAGCACCTGTCTAGTATATGCAAGTCTCTGGGTTTATTCCCCAGATCACCAGAAAAACTCAAAATATCTAGTACATATAGTCTGTGGCTGTGGAATAGAACAAAACCACCCGGGTCCCCTCCAAGTGCTAAGCAATCAGTGCTGTGCAAGTACATTTATTGGGCAGAACTAAAATTATGTGATTTATGTTGCTACAGTTAAATATCTTACTTTACCTGGCACCTTTTAGAGGTATAAAACTGAAAATTTAGGGTAAAGTACAAAACCTTACAAGATTGTTTCACAAATATTCAACCACAGCTGTCTTTACTAAAAAGTCCCCAAGTCAATTAAAATGTCATTAAATTTACAAAAATTGTTCATATAAAAAACACCTCAAGGGCTGGGGATTTAGCTCAGTGGTTCCACTGCCTGCCTTGCAACCGCAAAGTCCCAAGTTTGATCGCTGGTACCAAAAAAAAAAAAAAAAATCTCATTCTATTATAGTTCAAATAAAAGTTCACTAGATTCTAATTGTAATAAGCAAGTAAAACTCCCCTTGAATGATGGAGAAAGTCTACTTACCTATTTGCTTTTCCACTATATACTTCAGAAATCTTATTTTCACCAAGAAAATTATGATCAAATTCACCAGGAAAATTGTTAATATCTTCCTTTAAAGATGTACAAAACTCTTCAGGAGTCTGTGTGTAAAAACTCCCGGGCCCCCCGCCCCCTCCAGGTGAATCTGTCTGGACCCCAGGCCCTGCGTTCTGCCCCTCAGAAAGGCCTGAGTGCTCCATGCGCACTGCGGGGTCTTTAGATTTGCAGATGTTCAATTCTGAGACGCAGGTGCCATAGCCGCTGCTCATGGAGCTACTGTCCACACTGCAGTCTGCTCGTGATGCACCCCTTCTTTGCTGCATCTCAGGTTCCTTAGACTCAGGATAACTAGTGGCAGATTCATTTCTTTCACTGTGTTCAGAAAAAAAACCCATTTGACTTTCTGAAGACACGTGTTTGCTGGAAGAACTTGTATCACAGGAAGCCCACAAAGAATTATTGATCTGAAATTTGATTAAATTTCTTATCTCTTCCTGTATACGCTGGGAACAAAAAGTGACAGATTTGGGTAAGAAAGTATATTACACATCACATTTTTATAAATGTCATGAAATTACCATTTCAAAATACGTTACTACTCTAAATATGTCATATCTTTAGTTTAAAGAAGTGATAAATGGGGCCGGGGATTTAGCTCAGTGGTTCTGTCACCTGACTCGCAAGCACAAGGACCCAAGTTTGATCACCGGTACCAAAAAAAACAAAAACAAAAACAAAAACAAAATCAATATATGTGGGCCAGGTATTTAGCTCAGTGGCGCTGTTGCCTGCCTTGCAAGCACAAGGTCCAGAGTTCAATCCCCAGTACCACAAAAAAAAAAAAAAAAAAAAAAATCAATATAAGTGACAACTTACTTGAATTTGATTGTGGAACTGTTCCTGGTGGGCAACTATCTGTTCTTGGCATTGTTTTTCCACCAAATTGAACAACTGTAACCACCTGGCCTGTTAAATTATAAAATATCTTAGTTTTTTAAAAAAACTTACTATTTCATACAAAAATTTCTCCAGTAAGAAATGCCCTTTTTAAAAAGAGCATTTATAATATAAAATTTATAAGCCAAACTAATTGTAAAAATATATTTGATAAACATATACAAAGACAGATGCCTTTTTCTTACATAACCCACAGTCTGGGTAAATCAGAGAAGGTCTGGGTGAGTTTTATATTTCAAATGCCATCTTTATTTGATGTCATCTGCTATCATTTCTGACTAATCAAGTCTTAAGTTCCTGTCCTTTCTTCAAACTGAAATGGTTTATACTGCCTGCATTTTACATGTTTTGAGGATATGGACATGTAATTAAGGGTTTTCCCTCTGTACAGCTTTTAATGCAAACATCCTGAACAGGATTTCTAGTCTGGCCTAGTAAATAGTCCAGGGCCATTAAAATCCTAGGTCTGACTCCCAGCCGTCCACTGACAACCTCTTCCTAGAAAATAATAAATTTAATCTCTTCACACCTCAGTTTCCTAATAACACCTCATAGGTGCTTGGCAAGATTCGATTTTAAATTTGACTACAGTGCATGTAAAGTAGTGACCTCAATAAAGGAAAAACTGCATTTTGGAAACTGTGAAGTCACGGTCATCACAAAGGTGAGCGGTGTGCCCCTCACATTTTTCGTGGGCAGATTCCTGACAATGTATTGAGTATACTAGCTGGCAAAGAGACAATAAATTGTTCATACTACAATATTTATTATTATTACCCTATAACTATTACTATTGTATACATAATCAGCAGTGCTAAATAGTTAAAATGCTACAATAACTAGTTATTAGTTAATGGTGTTTTTTAAAACTTTCTTACAGTTACTAGAAATAGCAAGTACTTAAGAATGTATGGAAGTAGGTGCCAGGGATTTAGCTCAGTTGTTCCGCCGCCTGCCTGGCAAGCACAAGGTTCCAAGTTCCATCCCTGGTACCGCCCCCCAAAAAAAGAATGCATGAAAGCACATGTGCAAGTGTTAAGAACCTTCTGATTGAATCAAAATACATAATCATCCTCCACTTGGGATGGTGAGTTCGAGGCCAGCCTGGGCTACACAGCAAGCTCAAGGCTGGGCTGGACTATATAGCAAGACTCTGTCTCAAACAAAACAACACTATGTCTTAAATTAACAAATATGATTCTGACTGAAAATGTTGACTTCAAAATATTAAAGGTAATAATTTCTAATTCAATATAAATTTGCCAAAAACTAGCTTATGGGAATATTATTTGTCTGAAAGCAATTAATTCAGATATTATAAACAAGTGAATAAATACATTAAGAAAAACACTTAATAAAGTATTCCTTTTTATTTTCCACCTGTTGGAGATTGAGCCCAGGGCCTCATGCCTGTTAAGCATGCGCTATACCCCTGAGCTCTATCTCTAGCCCATAATATTCTATTTTTATTTTATTTTATTTATTTATTTTTGTTTGGTTGGTTTTTGAGACAAGGTCTCGCTATATAGTTCAGGGTCCCCTTGAGGTCACTATGTAGTCCACCCTGGCCTCAAACTCAAAGCGATCCTCCTGCCTCTCAGCCTCCTGAGTGCTGGGACTACGGGCGTGTGCCACCATGCCCGGCTCTGAAAAGTTAATTTTTTAAAGTATACAGTAACAGTTATTTTTAGAACTTTAATCATCATGATAACGAATATAAGTAAGTATTACACACAGGGTGGATGCTATTGAATTCTTTTTTTTTGGTACCGGGGATTGAACTTGGGTCCTTGTGCTTGCGCAGCAGGTGAAACCACTGAGCTAAATCCGCACGGTCCTGCTATTGAATTCTTAAACCAGGTAATCTTTCACTTCACTTTTTCTATATTCTGAAAAATAACACAAATTCTGGTTCCAAAAGTACAATTAACATTTAAAACAAGGGCCGGGGATTTAGCTCAGTGGTGCCACCGCCTGCCTTGTAAGCACAAGGTTCCGAGTTCAATCCTCAGTACCAAAATCAAAACAAAAAAACCCTACTGTTAAAAGCTTAATAATATGGGCCAGGGATTTAGCTCAGTGGTCCCGGCACCTGCCTTGCAAGCACAAGGTCCCAAGTTCAATCCCTGGTACCAAAAAAAAAAATTTAATAATATTATGTATTTCTATAAACCATTACCAACTCTAGTTTATCTTGAAAAACAGGGAAAGTCCACCTTGAGCACTATTCTATAAAATAAAAATTTTAGGGGCCAGGGATTTAGCTCAGTGGTTTCGCCACCTGCCCTGCAAGCACAAGGACCCAGGTTCGATCCCTGGTACCCAAAAAAAAAAAAAAAAAAAAAGTCTTCTGAAAAAAAAAAATTTAAGTATTGTTTTAACTTAATTCTTTTAACAGTGCTGGGGATCAAGCCTAGGGCCCCCCCACAAGCAAGGCAGTGGTCCTCACTGAGCTATACTCCCAGCCTCCCGATACAGTTTTACATTATAATTTAACTTACGTATGGAAGAATCAATGACCTGAAAACAATAGAACACAATGTATCACAGCTAAATGTGATAAGGTACTGAACGCCTAAATTCAGAATTAAACCATTCAAAATATTTCAAAGTAGATGTAGGTTTTTCAAAATGGGGTCAATTCCATATGAGTAACTTTTTCACATTTGTTCAAAATCGTTCCCTAATTATACTCGACTAGTTTAGCAATTAAGTATCATGTTCTTTTGGACATAAATTTCTAATAACTTTGAGTTCAGTACAGGTTCATTTAAATATGATTTTTTTTTTTTGGTACCGGGGATAGAACTCCGGTCCTTGCGCTTGCACAGCAGGCGGCGAAACCACTGAGCTAAATCCCCGGCCCTAAATACAATTATTTTAAAATCCCCAAAATAAAACAAAACAAGATACCTCACAGTTTTTCCAGAGTTCTGAATCAGACTTGCCACCGTTCTGTAGCTCTTGCATGAAAGAGGCTAGCACTTCCACTGTCCCTTGGATGGCAGGTGGTCCAGTCTTCCCTGAGAAAGAGGACACCCCGTTTGTACTAAGGTGGGGACTACTTCTGTGGAAACAAAAATCACTCAAATGGTTTCTTCATTCTCCGTGAGTGCTGAATCACTCAGCAGTTCATGATTAGCAGAGCAGCACAAAACCACTGACATTTAATTCTAATTGGCACCTCATCTGATCACAAGTTTGTCCACAAAAGGAAAACAGCAGTAAAATGATGGTACACACACACACACACACACACATATGTTTTTTGGTACCTGGAATCGAACTCCAGTCCTTGCACTTGCAGGGCAGGTAGCAGAACCATTGAGCTAATCCCAAGCCCAGTTCTATCTATCTATCTATCTATCTATCTATCTATCTATTTTTTTTTTTTGGTGCCAGGGATTGAACTCAGGAACTTGTGCTTGCAAGGCAGGTGCCGGAACCACTGAGCTAAATCCCCAACCCCTATATTTTTTTTAAGAGCATAAAGAAAGACCTTCTCCAGGAACACCAGAGTGCTGGCAGAAAATAAGATGTGCCAACGTCTTGTCTTAACGAGAGTTTCCAGCTTCCCTGGTCTAAATCTCCAGCCCACTGCAAGCCCCACCCTGTGCTGCGCTGGGGGTTCTGTCCCCCACCAGAAGACAGTCCAGCCTTGTCACCCGGCACCCCCAGCATGATAAGCTGGTTCTTATCCCTGCGCCATCCCTGAATGAAAGCTGTGCCAAGCTCATTAACAGCACTCACTCGGGCCTTCTCTAGCCTACTCAGTACGTGCAAAGCACTGGTCCTTCCCAGGAAAGCCTGCACTTCCAAACTTGACTCTATCAGATCTGCTTTATCAACACACAAAGCCTAATTCAGGACATCACAACTGGTTTAAAATCTAGTCGCTCAAAGATTATTTTCATCTATCACGGATTTATAACCAGCTTTTTTCACAAGGAATTTATAAAGAGGACAATAATGAAAACAGTAAATAAAGACCAGAGAAAATATTAAAATTCAAAGGACAGAAGAACCTAGTAGTGTCCAAAAGAGATTTACATAGTTGTATAGTTTCAACCTGGTGAATTTACCTGCCATTCACAAGGAAGAGCATAATTTTCATGAGGAAAGCACATTTGGGCTCCTCCAGGCAAATCAAACACTATATTTTTCAAGAAATTTCTTCTGGAGGTAGCGCTCAAAGAGACCACTAAGTGACACCGGAAACAAAGCGTGTGGCCAAGGTCCAGCAAGGCCACACAGTACCACAGCTGGCATCTCTTTTATGCCATTTCTCCCTCTTTCAAAATTACCTTTCACTCTAATTTACACTTTCCTATCTCATTTTATATACTTTAAATTCCTCAGAAGGGCAGAGAATAAACAATTTTTAGTTATTTATCATTTTCTTCAAAAGACCTACATGTTTAAAGCTATTTATCTCTTCGCTGGCAGGCCTCCGACCACTAACTTTTTGCTATGTTGCAAAATTATGCTTTTTATAATTGATCACTTCTCTAACAGGCCCTACCTCTTCGCTATTCTGAGCTACCATAAATTTAGAAACTAAATAACTAAGCTTCTCAGACTTCATGTAAATTGAGAGTAAATAGGCTCTGATTAAAAACAAATAATTGGGGGCCGGGGATTTAGCTCAGTGGTTACGCTGCCTGCCTTGCAAGCTCAAGGACCCGAGTTCGATCCCCCCCACACACAAAAATAAACAGTGAGGGAGGGAGCTCAGTGGTAGACTACCTGCCCTTCAGCCCTGGGTTCAATCCCCAGTAACCGGCCCCCCCAAAAAACCAAGCATTTTGCTGTCATGGTAACTCAGAGCTCTGCAGAGTCTGTTTTTACTTAGTTTTTACTACTCAACTTTAATTGCTACTGTTCAGCTTGGTGAGGTATTTTTGCAATATAAAACATTATTTGTACCAAAATGTAGAAATAATACTTAAGCAACTACAGTTTAAAGATATATTTTTAATCTGGCAAAAGGGAAAAAAGTATAAAGGAAAACACAACTGGCAAAATAAGTTCTTTTTCACAATGTTCCCATACAAAAGTATATCTCTCTAGCAAAAATGAAAAATGCAAAAGAGTAAAACTATTCTCAACATTCCCTGAACAGCTGCTGATCATAGCTGGGGTTTTTTGTTTGTTTGTTTAACAAATACAAATCAGCAATGATGATACTATTTGGATAAACTGGTAAACTATCAAGTAACATGCCAGGGATTTAGCTCAGTGGTTCCGCCACCTGGCCACCTGCTTCGCAAGCGCAAGGTCCTGAGTTCAATCCCCGGTACCAAAAATAAATAAATAAACTATCAAGTAACATTATTTTTGTTTGTTACATTTAGAAGTATCTATCCCATTCTTACCTATTAGTATTTAAGCTCAGTCCATGAGAATGGGGAGAATTTTTGATATCAGATTCTACAGATGAAGTTTTTTGTAAGGTTTTCACCATGTCAAAATCTTCCATAGTGTACAGAAATGGTTACAGTCTCTTATTGGAAAATAGTGGTTCTTTTACCGTTTGAGGAAACTGAATCCGAGTCATCTTCAGATGCTTCATCGTCTACCAGTATTTTCAGTTGCTAACATTCAAAACTGTAAAATTTCCTAAACTTCCAAGAGTCTGAAAATGAATGAGGAAAAAAATACTACTATAAAAAGCCACTAACTTAGCAACTGTCTTTTCAGACTTTGAAAACTTTCACTTCTTTCATATAAATGTGCATTAAGGACAGCAACGATTTTTTGTTTTTGTTGTTGTTTTTTCAGACAGGGTCTCACTATTTAGTTCAAGTTGGCCTTAAATTCACTATGTAGCCGAGGCAGGCCCTGAACTCACAGTCATCCTCCTGCCTCAGCTTCCCAAGTGCTAGAATTACAGGCCTAGCTAGCAATGTTATTTACAATGGCCACAATGCAGAAGCCCAAAAGTCCATCAACAGATAAATGGGTAGGCAAATACTGTATGACACATCCATGTAAGGGATCATTCGGCCTTAAGAAAGAATGAAAACAAGTGTTGTGGTGCACACCTATATTCTCAGCACTCTGGGAGGCTGGGGCAGGAGGATCACAAGTTGGAGTTCAGCTTTTACTTACCAAGACCTTGTGTCAAAAAATAAAATGAGGGCCAGGGATTTAGCTCAGTGGTTCCAGCGCCTGCCTTGCAAGTGCAAGGTCTCAAGTTCGATCCCCAGTACCAAAATAAATAAAATAAAATAAAATAAAATGGGCTGGAGATGTAGTTCAGTTTGCATGCCCCGGTACTGAATAAAAAAAAGAAGGAATGAAACACTGATACACGTTACAGTGTGGATGAACACTGAAAACAATGTGGTAAGTAAAAAGAACCTACCAAAAAAGAACACAGAAGTATTCCAAGCCCAGCACTTGGGAGACCAAGGAAGCAGATCACCTGAGATTAAGGCCAGCTTGAACTACATAGACTGCAGTGGGTACAGGGTTTCTTTTGGGGGTGATGAAAAGGTGTGGAGTTAAGATAGTAGTGATGATGGCCCAAGAGCCTTGTAAACATACTAATACCACTGAATCACACACCCTGCAAAGGGGGAATTTTATGACATGTGAGTTATAAATCTCAATGAAAAGTCTACATCTGGGTGATTTGCAAAAGTAGCCTCTCCGTTTTCAGGTAATATTTCAGAATTTTATGTACTGATAATTAAGGTTCAAGACACAACTCTACTATGTAACAACTGGAACACTTCCATCCTCGTGCATTTATTTAATTCTACCAAATATACATGCTTGTTGATTTACACAATGACCAAAAAAATTGAACTACAAAGTCTTTAATTTGGCATCAACTGCAGCCACTTAAACTGTTAACACATTTGCCTCTCTGCCTTCTGCACTAGGAAGCCTTTTGCATTCTGCATTCATCTTTTGTTTTTTCTTTTTGCTATGTAGTTCAGGCTGGCCTTGAACTCCCTATACAGTCCAGGCTGTCCTGGAACTCATGGTGATCCTCTTGCCTCAGCCTCCTGAGCGCTGGCTGGGATTACAGGCATGAGCCCACGGCCAGCTATGCATGCATCATTTCTTTAACAATTAAACTATTTGTCAGGCCAATTAAAATTTTACTGAGACTGGGTATAATAGTATGTCTCCTGTTTAGCAAAGCCATGGATAAAAAAAAAGATCGAGGAAGCAAGAGAAAAACAAGAAAAAAGAAAGAAAGAAAGATCTATGCTGTTTAAAAATGAAAAGTTTTGAGAGTGTTACAGAGGAAAACCACCTAATATTCTGGTTCCCTTAGATTCCCCACTTCCTAGGGCCCGGTTTTATAAAGCAGTGCTGTTCACCAAAAACCATCAGCTCATCAAGGAAGCACTTCCTGGAGGGGCAGGTGTGAAAGCCCCGGGTAACCGAACCTAACTCAAGGGCCTTCTCCCAGGTGGCTCGGCCCATCACCGACGACGACAAATGAGACATTGAAAAAGCCAGGAGCTGCGTCCCTTTCCAAGTCCCTTTCCAAGCGGGCAACGAGCACCTGGCTTCCCATCACCAGGGACAGGCGAGATCTCCAGGGAGGCGGAGCTGCCACCCCCTCTATTCTTTCTCCGCTGAGGTCACCGGATGCAGGAGCTGCAGATGGAAAACCTCTAGAAATTCAAGGATGTTTCTCCAGATTTGGTGGGGGGCGGGGGTGCAATGAAGAAAGAAAGATTTTTTTTTTTGGTACCGGGGATCGGACCTTCCGCTTGAGAGGCAGGAGGCGGAACCACTGAGCTAAATCCCCGGCCCCTAGAAAAGATTTTTTTAAAAACAACAACAACCCGGTAACGATGCTGAATTTTAAAAAGAGGGAGAAAGTTGATAGGAAACGAATAGCGGATCAGAGACATTTTTATACTTTCCAGGAGCAAAATAGGACGCCTCCACCCCTACCCCACAACCCCTACCAGGAAAGGGGAGGAGTCACGGGGTTCCACCAGCAATCTGAAAGTTAACCAGGCGCCCTCTCCGCTGGGATCCGATCGTGACACAGTCGCCCTCCTAGCCAGATCTCGGTCGCCGCGGAAAAGACTGGGTCAGAGCGGGAAGGAGATAAAGTACCCCGTGCAGTCCCCTGGGCTACAGTCAGCAGGGAAGACGGAGAAGCCACCGTTGCAACTACTACCACTGTGAATCCCAAAGGAAGTCCAGGCACCAGGTAAACAAACAAACAAACAAACCCACCAGCCCCCCCCGCCCCGCCGGTGGGGAAAGGTGCTCTGCAATTGGGCCGCGCGGGTGTCACTCAAGGGCACCGAGTCTAGAAAAGGCGCACGCAGCGCGGCACAGCCCCACACGCCAGCGGGCTTGGGCGGTGTCGGTCTTCAGTCTACAGTCTCCTCAGGGCCTAGCCCATCAGCACACTCAGGGTTCCACTAAAACGGACTATCCTAAGTCTCGTCCCCCGTCCCGCGGGTGGCAACTCCTCGAAAGAGGACTGCCACTTACCTGACCGTCGCTTCCACAGCCGATATCAGGCTAGGGCGAGCAGCCTCTCGCGACCGTTAAAACTCGAAGGAGCGTGCGCGCGCCCGGCGTTTCATCCGCGATTGGCTGCTCGGAAGTGGGCGGAGACCGCCGAGCGGCGCGCGCTTGTCGACTTTGCAGCGCAACTCGCTCTCTAATGGTCTGACGCCAGGGAGGCGTGAGAGGGGCGGGGATTGTGTCAATTTCTCCCCTCTGATTGGTTCTCTGGAAACCTACCGCTACCACGTGAAAAGAAAGCTCAGCTTCTCGCATGCGCAGTTACTGAGAATGACCGTCCCGCGCGGGAGGGAGGCCGCGGCGAGTGTACGGCTTTGCTGTGGTTTCGGTTTCTCCTTGAACTTTTCCTGCTGGAGGCCAGTTGTGAGGACAGGTAAGCGTCCGTGCACAGCCCAGGCCACCCTACGGGTGCCCACGACTGTCCGGGGCTTTGGAGAGAGGCCTGGGAGACGGGATGTCTGAGTTTTCCCCGTCTGGCGACCTTGAGTCGCGCGGCCAGTTTACCTGAAGACCCACAGGTCGGGAGGCGGAGCCAGCTCTGCACCCCTGAGTTAAGTTTTTCCAGGACTCGGTTTACCCTAAGCTACTAGGGGTCTTCAAACACCCGGGGCGGTGGAGAGGAGGAGAGATCAGTGCCCTGAAGAAAACAGTTCCACGGAGGCCCAGGGAGAGTCGGGTGAGGCGTCGGAGGCATGGCACGTGTAGTGCCAGGCTTAACCATCTTCCTTCCCGCGGGCCACAGCCATCCCTCCGCACTGTCCAGCCACATCCTGCAGCCTCGTTAGCCTTCCGGGTTCTCCTGCACTTAGCCTTGCCCCGTGTCCTGGCCTAAGCCGTCGCTTGCAGGCATTGTCCCTTAAGCGTGCCAGAGGTGACCCCGAGAAGCCAGGATGAGGGAGATGTATTTGTCCTTGGGATGCAAACCTGCCAGGAATCATTCCATCTCCTCTGCGCCTCCTCAGAATACTTACTCATTATTTTTCAATAGTAAAACTTCGTCTCCATCCAAAACCCCACCCGTGTATGTCAGATCTCAAGCTTACATAAATTGAAGCCCTCCCCCATGTTAACCCTCCAGTCCATCTTAGGCTCGCGTCAGGAAGCAAACCTGCATGATTCATAAGCGCACCGCTTTGTTTTCAAGGACCATATTTTAAGGCCACCAAAGGACAAAGAAAAGCAGAAGCAGTTTTATCAGCTAATTTCACTTGGCCACAAGTCACACTCACAGAAGAACTGAGAAGTGTGAATTCCTGAGACAGCTCCAGGCTGTGTTTCTCTACAAGAAAAATATTAACCCCGAATGCAAGTAGTGATGAATTATTAACCATGTGTAGACAGTTGATTGCTTTGGGCTACAACCTCTGATGGGATTGGTATTTTGGGAGTGGATGCTTTTGATTTTTGTTCTTAGCGGTATGACTTTAGGTAATTTTTTTTCCCAGTATGGAGATTGAACCCAGCACCTTCAAACTGAGCAACATCCCTAGGCCTTTATTTATTTATTTTTTATTTATTTTTAAGACAGTATTGCAAAGGCCGGGGTTTTAGCTCAGTGGTTTCGCCGCCTGGTGCTCAAGCGCAAGGACCTGAGTTCGATCCCCAGTAACCCCCCCCCAAAAAAAGACAGTATCGCGATAATTGCCCAGGTTGGTCTTTAAGTCACAACCCTCTCAGCCTCAGATTATGGGGATGCGCCACCAAGCCCAGCTTCATAATTTTTTTTTTTACATACTTTCTTTTTAATCTGCTAATGTTTTTTTAAATTTATTATTGTTTTTTGTTGTTGTTTAAGACAGGGTCTCACTATGTCATCCAGGCTGGCCTCAAATCCATGGTGATCCTTCTGCCTCAGCCTCCTGAGCGCTGGAATTACAGGCATGTGCCACCATAGCTGGCTGTAATTTTTAAAATCGAGTTTTGAAGTATTTGTTTGTCTTGAAGGCATCCACTTTACAGCTTTTGAGTAAAGATCTTTCACATCAGTCAGTCAGTTCAGAAGTTGGGCTGACAATGGTTTGAGGCATATAGTATCTGTTAAACAGGATTTCACTTTGTATCTTTAAAAATTTTTTTTTCTTGTGGTAATAGAGTTTGAACCCTGGGCCTTGACTATATGGACATGTGATGTACCACTGAGGGACTCTCCCAGCCCTTTTTATTATTCCTAAGTTGCCAGGCTAGCCTTAAACTGGTAGTCTTCCTGCCTCAGCTTCCCAAACAGCTAGAATTACAGGCTTGTGCCACCATACCTGGCTGTCATTGATTTTTTAAAATCATTTTATATTTGGGGGAAGGGGATTCTTCACAGAAAATAAGAAACAATAAAACTTTATAGTAACTATTAAACATAGAAAGAAATGATCAGATTTACATTTAATATGTGTATTTTTCTGGAATTGAACCCAGGGCCTTGTAAGTATTAAGCAGTTGTTCTACCCCTGGGCTACACCCCCACCCCTACATTTAAATTTTTGTTTGTTTTTGAAACAAGGTCTCACTGTGTCGCCCAGGCTGGCCTCAAACTTGTGATGATCCTCCTGCCTCAGCCTCCTGAGTGCTGAGATTACAGGCATTTGCCACCATGCCTAGCTTACATTTAATTTTTTTTTAATCTTTCCTGTCTTTCATTATTTTCTTCTACTATACAGTATTCCATAATCCCTAAAGACATTTTTTGTTTAGACCAGGACTGACTGTGGTGGGTGGTTTTATCTTTCAGTGTGAGCCTGCTGGGAAATCAGGCTGTATTTTCGGCATCATAATGAGTTCCTTGGCACCTGATTTCATAGACCAGAATTAATGACCTCACCAAATAGCATGTCTTTGGCAGTTGGATGGTTTCTAAGTACTTCTTTTTTTTTTGGTACCAAGGATTGAACTCGGGACCTTGCGCTTGTGAGGCAGGCGGCAGAACCACTGAGCTAAATCCCTGGCCCTCTCTAAGTACTTCTTAAACTGGATCATACCAAGTAAAATAATCTGTTGGTCATTCTTCTAGATATATTTTCATTCTGAATTCTAAAAACCCCATCAAATAGGCCACACATAGTGGCACACACTACATAGTGAGTTCAAGGCCAGTCTGAACTACATTGCCAGACCATGTTGCAAAAAAAAAAAAAAAAAAAAAAAAATTGAAAACCTGCTGAACCTGATGTACATTCCAGAGGCTGAGGCAGGAGGGTCATGAGTTCAAGGCTTTGAGAAGACGATATAGTGTTATGACTGCTGCTTTTTATGTGTTTTTTTTCCCCTTGGTACCAGGAATCGAACTCAAGGCCTTGCACTTGCCAGGCAGCCGCAGCACCACTGAGCTACATCCCCAGCCCCAGTGTGTTTCTGTTTTAAGAGTGCAGTTGATAAATTATAAGGTTCCTGTGAGATGCCTTAAATAGAAGAAAATCACAGTGGTGCATACAAATAGCGGGGTAACTGTGAACGCAGGTCATGGGTTGCGAGGTGCTTTGTCTTCCTGTGAAGCCAGAAGCCTAGGAAAGCTCATGATCTCACGGTCTGTTTCCAGCCTCACCCTCACTGCCCCATGGCGCCTCGTGGGGGCATCACAAAGTTGGAGAAAGCGCCATTCTCCTCCCTTGTGTTTTTAGGGAGCACCAGAACTCTGGAGGCTGGGGCTGTACTCAGTGCAGGAGCCCTTGCCTAGCACGCACAAGGCCCCAGGTTCCATCCCCTGCACCAAGAAGTATTTATGTCTGTCCTGCAACCAGAACTTGTTGATTCCTGTGTCCCAGAACAGTGCTTGTCACACTTGGCTGTGCCTTGAAATCACCCTGGGATCTTGTTGAGATGCAGCCATCAGCCTGGCTGGGGCAAGGCCTAAGTGTCTGGGTTCCCGACACCCCTCCTGCTGCGGCTGCCCCAGCCCACAGTCCACACATTGAGTATCGAGATCCAGAGCTCCCGCCTCCAGTGCCCTGGCCACTAGTGACTAGTAACCACGGAAGCATGGTTGGTCCAAACTGAGATGTCCCCTATGTACAAACTGAAAAAAGAATGCGATGTCTGTTTTAACATTTATTATGTGTTGAAATAATATTTTTAATATCTTAATTATATGAGTTTCAGAGAACCTACAGTTTCACATATGGCCAGCAGCACAGTTTCATCGAGTGCACTGATCTAGAATGCTAACATGATACAGGTGATATTTGTGGTGTTTTTCTCAGCTGACCAGTTTCCCAATCCCTCTTAACATGCCACTGTGGCTGCTAGCTCAAACCAGTATTCATTTAATTCTTTTCTCTGGATGATCTCCCTGCCCTACCTTCCATTCTGATCAAGCGGTCAGACAATACTGTGTGCCAGCAGACAGGTGGCACCCTCGCTCAAGCCCTTAGCTGGCCGGGCCTGTATCCAAGCACTGGGGAGGCTGAGGCAGGAGGATCGCTTCGAGTTTGAGGCCAGCCTGTACTACAGAGGAGACCCTGTCTGAATACCCCCTCCCAAAATACTGAAAGAGAATTTTAGATAAACAGTACCCGGTAGGCAGGTCCAGAGATGGAACCCTAGGCCTTTAATAGATTGAAATCAGATAGGCCTAAACTTTCTTAGAGACCCTAGAGGCGAGGTGGGCATTACCTACCGCCTCTGCCTCTCCTAGCATCAGGGCTGTTGATGACACCGTGTCACCGCCTACGTCTAGGTTTTGGGTTGATTTTTAGGGGTTTTTTTATTTGCTGCTGGGATTGGACCCACAGCCTTCTCTCTGAGCTGCATCCCCAGCCAGTGGTTTTGTTTTTTATTTTGAGGCCAGGCTGGGCTCAAACTCTCAATCCTCCTGCCTCAGCTTCCCAGAATGTTGGGATGACAGGTATGTGCTGCCTACTAATCTCAGTGTGACTCAGGATTGTTCCCGTCGCAGCCCTAGTCTCGGAGTTGGATGCCCCAGACCCACAGCAAGTTTTGGGTTGACGGAGGTGCTGCTCTGGTGGTGACTGAGGCGCTGTATCCACCGTGCTGGGACTCGGGGCGCAGCGGAGGCTGGCACGTCATCTACCCTGGGCTGGGCCAGGGTTGTGTTTATAGAGGTCGTGATTTCTCTTTATGGTCTGGGCTCCTTGGACTCCCTGAGGCCCACGCCTGACTTAGAGGATGTTTAAAATATTTCCTGGACAAATTAACATTCCTGTTTGTAAAGCCCGCAGACTTACCATCTATCTCTGAACGACCGAGCTGGAAAGGACTCCCGACAACGAGTGGGGCCTTAGTCTAAACCCTGCCAGCTACTGAGGCAGAAACCTTGGTCAGAAGAAGAGTGGCGTGGGAGGAAGTCAGCCACAGCCAGTCCTTAAAGCCCATCCTCACAGAGAGCAAGTAGGGCAGAGCTGTCGTGATGGCCGGTTTCCCCTTACACGCACTTCTTTTTACCTTTTTCCCTTTTTTCTTTTTTTTAATGTCAGGATGAGCTACAATTTAAGCTGCTTTTATCGTTCCCTAAAGACTTTAGGTTGCTCTGTGGGTATCACAAGAACTGAAATCCAATCCGTATTCTTCTTTGGGCTTCAGGGACGCAGAACCACGGGTGTGTTTGTCATTTTTAGCAGCTGCTGGAGTGGGGCCAGAGCTCCAGGAGACATTAGAAATGTCTGGAATCGTCTGAATGGCCACTGGAATTAGCCGCTCGACAAAGCAGCCTGTCACTGAACACTGGGGCCTTCTTGGACTTCAGTGGAGCGGGACCTCTCCCGGGGTGTCTGCCAGCTCCAAATCAGGACAGGAGGGTGAGATTTGAAACAGGGGGCTGTGACACAACAGCTGATGACAGCGCTGCCTCTGTCCTTTGTCTGGAGTCTCTCCTGTCTCCGACTTGCTTCCTCTCTTTGTCCCTGCACCGTGTCCTAGTGCTGCCCTGCCTGGTCACATTCACCACCTAGCGGAAGAGGAACCCAGGAGGGGCCTTGGCTCAGATTCCACAGCGGGTCCGCTCGGGCCTGGAGCGGGTAACACAAAGGACTGTTGTACAGACTGAAAGGAGACGCCAGGAAGGCGACACTCACTCAGTCACGTGGTCATGCGTACTGGTTTCCTGAAGAGATTTCAGAGAAAGTGTCTGGGTTTACCATTCGTCTTCTCTTGAGACTACTTCTGGAATATTTCATGCACATTGAACAAAACCCATTTCAAATTCCATTTGCCCTGGCACCTGTGCTTCAGCTCTGCCCTCACAGCCTCTGAACCCCTAGTCTGTTTTCAATGTCACCCACCGGGATGGCAGAACACAGAGAATGTCACAGAAGACCAGAGAGACAGTCATGGAATTGAGAAATAGCAGCCGTGTAAAGCTGGAGAAGTGTCAAGAAGCCAGGTGTGGTGGCGCATCCCTGTGATCCCAGCAGTCTGGAAGGCTGAGGCAGGAAGATCAAAAGTTTGAGCCCATCCTAGGCTACTTAGCAAGATTGTTTTAAAATGGGGCAAGATAGCTGGGGATTTAGCTCAGTGGTTTTGCCGCCTGCTGCGCAAGTGCAAGGACCCAAGTTCGATCCCCAGTACAAAAAAAAAAAAAAATGGGGCAAGATAGGTATGTTCTGGAGCCCGGGATTTAGCTCAGTTGTGCCACCGCCTGCCTTGCAAGCTCAAGGTCCTGAGTTTGGATCCCTGGTACCAAAAAAAAAAGGATAGGTATGTTTTGTTTCATTGTATGCCTTTCCTGTGGGAACAGCAAAGTAGAGATGAGGGCTATGGTGTTGTCAGTGTAAATAAGACCAGTGGCATCTCAGCATCAGCTGTCCTGACAACTCAGCCAGAAGCTTGCTTCTAAAGGAACAGGAAATGCACATAGTGACATACGTCTTCAACTAGCAGCCCCTTACTTGGACCTGGGTTTGGCAGTCACAGTTGGCAGTGGACAAGGGGTGAGCAGAGAGCACCCCTGGGGCAGTGACCTGCTGGATGCTGTCACCTTGGAAGCTGGCACCTACCTGGGGCAAGGCCAGTGACCATGACTGGAGGCCACCAGCTTCCAGGTGCTGATGCAGCTGCAGGGGCCCACGGGCAGCAGCGTTCATGTTCAGGGCCTGCCTGTTTCTCGGAAGACCCAAGCAGCGGCGGGACCCTGGGGTTCCCAGTCCTCCTGTTGATATTTTACAGACCAGATCTCCAGCCTCAAAGCCCTTTCCAGAATACCTTCTTTTTCCTTTCAGTACTGAGGATCGAATAAAGGGCCTCAGTTTACCAGGCAAATGGTCAACCATCAATCCATGTCCCCAGCCTGCTTTCTCACTTTGACACAGGATCTCACTAAATTGCCCAGGCCGGGCTTGAACTTGAGGCCCTGCCTCAGCCTCCCACACCTGGCTTCTCCCTGACCTCCCTTCAGCGTATGTGGGATGGGTGGAGAAGGGCTCCTTTCCCAAAGCAGGGCCAGGTGGTGACCCCCGTTCACATGGAGACCTTTCAATCCCTCCTCTCTTGGCTTCTGGGAGAATGCACAGGCCTGTGGGATTCCTCACATTCTTGAAGCTGTTACTCCTTGTCCTGTTCATCAAGGAAGTTGTTGCAGCCTTGCCATGTCTCAGATCATTGTTTAAAGCTTTTGTCAAAAGCACTTGCACGGAGCTGGGACTTGGCTCAATGGTCGAATGCGTGCTCAGCATGCATGAGGCCCTGGGTTCGATCCCCAAAAATAACCCCACTTGCTCTTTGAGTCTTCTAACTAGCATGGCCGCTCCCTCCAGAGTCCCCCTCACTGTACTGCCGTGGTATCTGGGACTTCACAGCACCCCAGTGATCCTGACAAGGATGACCAGTTCGATTACATTACTGGCAGCACACCCCGAGGGAGCAGCTGTTCCCATTCAAACCCCTGAAACTGGAAACATTGGAAGACAGCATGACATTGATTGATAGGAAAGTTTACTGTGTCAGACTGTTGGAGCTCAGCTGCAAAACAGGTGCTCCACTGCCATCTTTACCTTCTGATTAGAGCTGCACAAATGCTCAGTGCCGTCACTCGACTCTGATCCTCATTTCTGACGTACTATTTCATGTTTCTTTATTAAATTATAGCCCCATTTGGATTTCACACTCAAAACCTCTCCTTCTGGGGAAAGCAGCACCTCTGGTGCTTTGAGATATTTTTGGTCTGTTAGCCGGAAGTATTTACAGGCTGGCAGGGCTTGGACCGGTGAGAACACGGGGGTGAGGCAGGCTGGAAAACTGTGTCTTGCTCACCAGTTCCCTTTAGGGAACCACCCTAGGGAAGGGTGTTATTACTCATGTGATTATTTTTGTTTGTTTTTTTGAGACAGGGTCTCATAATGTAGTTCAGGTTGGTCTTGAACTCACTGTGTAGCCCAGGCTGGCCTCATTCACGGCGATCCTCCTGCCTCAGCCTCCTGAGCCCTGGGATCACAGGCGTGCCACACCTGGCTCAGTGCTGTTCAGTTGGACTGTATGAAAAGCTGGCTCTGCATCGAGAGCCAAGGGTCTCACCGAAAATCTGGCCTTCTCCTTGTCCGCCTCAGGTTCTAAACAAGCAGCCCCATGGCCCTGATGAGCACCTTGGGTTTACTTCGTGGTCCTGCAGTGCTGGCCAGAGTATGCTCAGGGCCTCGGGGCCTCTCGCTCGGGGAGACGCGGACACTGCTGTCCCCAGGAGGCGCTGCCACTGCACTGCAGGTGGCTGGCAAGAAGGACCACACCAGCCTGCTGCCCCTGGATGAAAGCGAGCTGGAGGAGCAGTTTGTGAAGGGACACGGGCCAGGGGGCCAAGCCACCAACAAGACCAGCAACTGTGTGGTGCTGAAGCACTTGCCCTCGGGGCTCGTTGTGAAGGTACGGGTGCCCCGGGCACCGGCAGATCCGTGGGGCTGAGCCCTACTCCCCAAGGCAGAGCCCCTGCGTTCAGCACTGGGCCCCCTGGCCAAGCTTTTGAGGAAAACCTCGGTCCCTTTTCCTCTGTGAGTGGCAAAACCCTGAAACCTGATGGGAGCTTGCCGGTGTCCCTGGGACCCAGCTTCAGAGTTGCGCTGGCTACTCGTGGCTAAGGAGAAAGCTGCTCTGTATCCCCCGCCACCAGCTCGACGCCTCGATTGGCCCAGTCCTCTCGTGGCAGAGCTTTCAGAGCTGAGGCATGTGTGCCGTAGGTTGCGTCACTGCCCGTTTAGTCCATCCTTTATTTATGTAAGTTCTTTGCTTTTTTTTTTTTTTTTTTTGGTACCAGGGATCAAACTCGGGTCCTTGCGCTTGCGTAGCAGGCAGCAAAACCACTGAGCTAAATCCTTGTAGGATTTAGGTTGTAGAATGTAGGTTCTTGAGACAGCCTCTCACTCTGTCCTTCAGGCTGGCCTTGAACTCGCTATGTAGCCCAGGCTGGGCTCGATTAATGTTTTCATAGTTATTTAGAGACTCTTTAAGTTATCTGAAGATTATTATTGCTTATAAACAACCCAAAAATTGTTAGGATCATCACAGCCAGGCATGGTGGCGCACACCTGTAACCCCAGCACTCAGGAGGGTGAGGCAGGAGGATCATCGTGAGTTCAAGGCCACTCTGGACTCTACAGAGTGAGACCCTGTCTAAAAAAACAAAAAAGAGAATAAAACTACCAGAAAGGAAGCCACTTAATGTAAGTGGGGTGCAGGAAGAGGAGGCCACAGGGAGAGGCAGGGCAGATCTGGTCTTCACTGCTTTGCCTGCTGGGCCTGTCCCCGACTGTCAAGGGACGAGGCTAGAGTAGGGGACCACCGAGGCCCCAGTCCCGGCACCCTGTGACTGTCACCCTGTCACCTACCATGTCTTGCAGTGCCATCAGACAAGATCTGTGGACCACAACAGGAAACTGGCTCGGAAAATCCTACAGGAGAAAGTGGATGTTTTCTACAATGGTGAAGACAGTCCTGTTTGCAGAAAGAAACGAGAGGCAGAGAAGAAAAAGCAAGAAAGGAAGAAAAGAGCGAAGGAAACACTAGAAAAAAAGAAACTACTGAAAGAACTATGGGAATCAAGTCGGAATTCCACTGTGGAAAAAACTGCCGATTCCTACTGGATCTACCAGAAAGCATCCAGGGAGTAGGTGGAAGGGTCTCCCTTTTTTTTTTTTTTTCAAAGAAATAGTCCCTTGCACTGGGAGTGTAGCTCAGTGGTAGAGTGCTCACCTAGCATGCATGAGGCCCTGCGTTCAGTGCCCCAACAATGAAAACCCAGATGTGATCTCACTGCCAGCCCAATTCCTAACACTCAGAAGATCTTCCTGTTCCAGCCTCCCTCACAGTAAGGACTGCAGGAGTATGCCATTATATCTGGAAGCCAGGCTTGGGGTCTCATGCCTATAGTTCTAGCACTTAGGAGGCTGAGGCAGGAGGATTGCAAGTTCAGGGCCACCTGGACTATACGAAAATGATGATACAGTCGTTATTACGGTACTGCCCATGTACTCCATTAGCTTGTTAACAGACTTGTCTTGCCAAGAAATGTCTCTCGGGGCCGGGGATTTAGCTTAGTGGCACTGCACCTGCCTCAAGTGCAGGGTTCTGAGTTTGATCCCCGGTACCAAAAAAAAAAAAAAAAAAAGAAATGTCTCTGTAGAAAAACATGTCATTCCCTGTATATTGATGTGTGGGGAATGTTTTGTTTCATTTTGTTTTTGCTACTGGGGATCAAACATGGGGCCTCCCCAGCCCCGTGAGCTGCACCCAGCCCTATTTCATATTTTCTGGTCAGGGTTAGCAGTGCCAGGCCTAGCATGCTTTACTGACTACATGAAAGACAGACTCTGTAGCACTCGGAAACACACATGGGATGAGCAGCCACCAGTGAGGATGGCGCGAGGGCCATGGCCATTCGCCAAGTCAGTCTTGCTGCCTCCAGTTTTTTGGTTTTATTCCCAAGCACGTATGGAGTCTGCCACTATTAAACACACCCTCTGACAGAAGCACTCATGTGCCTTCCCCAGCCAGCTGTGCTATGACATGAACACACAAAAGGTTTCTGGCAGGTGGGAAAATGCCCTTTGACAGGTTATCTGCAGCCTCTCACTGAGAAGCAGCTTTACGAATGGTGGCACATGCCAGCAATCCCAGCACTCCGGAGGCTGAGGCAGGAGGACTGCCACAAGTGTGAGGCCAGCCTGACTATACAGTGAGACCCTGTCTCACAAAGTAAACCAAAAGAGCCAGGGATTTAGCTCAGGGTGCTGTGCCTGCCTCACAAGTGCAAGGTCCTGAGTTCGTTCCCCAGTACAGCAAAAAAAAAAAAAAGCAGCTTAAAGATGGCACTTCAGAACTTTCCAAGGAACCCATAGCATAACACAAATTGTTAATGAAAATAAGCTTTATTACATCAAGTAATAAATACATACAAAGATGCAAACAATTTTAGTCATTTTCTTCTGGATGTTCTGATCAACTTACAGCAAATGCAGAACTGAAATCTACAGAGTCTCCATATGAAAAGTGCCCAGGGTCCTTGGTAGAGGTGGTTGGTTGCTCTTTCTTGTGTATTTATAACTTGTGCATTTTAGGACTGACTTCAAAGCGCTAAGAGTCATGCAAATGCAGAAGCAGAGAGGCTCTCAAAGCAGGGTCTACGCCGCATGGCCACGGGACCAGCTGCTGGGTGATGCGCGGAACGAGTCCTCGGGTTGGCAGGGCTTATGACAAGGAGCAAAGAACAATCTGGAAGGCGTAAATTATGCAAAGGAGAAGATAGGGAGAGACACCGGGATCTTGGGCGCAAACACATTTGCTGTAAAAACGTCACATGCATCTTTTAAATCAACACTTAAAACAAAACCCTGGGTTAGCCTAACTACATAAGATGCGAACCCTAATTCCCTGTGAAACCTTTTCGCATTCTGAGACTGTAGGTTCAGAGCCTAACAAACCATGGCAGAACAAAACGAAAGTGTTAACGTTTCCGAAGAACGTTCCTGAGGGGGCTGGCTGCGGCCTCCTTCATCCTCCCAGTCGGGGCCGCTTGCCGCTAGGACCTGGCATTGCGCTCCGTCTCTGCCAGACACTCCCGGACCAGCCCGCGCGCATGGATGATTCCTGCGGAGAGCAGAGGCCATGGTCAGCTGGCCCGGCTCGCCCCCTGCACCCCGCCAGGGAGCCTGGGGACCTACGCAACCCAATAAGCCAGGTACAGTGGTTCACACCTGGGAGTCCCACTGCTCGGAGGCTGAGGCAGGAAGGCTGACTACACCATAGGAGTTCTTGACCCGTGGGGCTCGGGTAGGACCTGCTGTACATGGGAGCAGGGTCACTGTGGCTCCACCAGGGCCCTGGAGCTGACCTGATGGGGCTGAGCCAGGGTCAGGCAGGTGAGGGGACGCGTCCAGGTACACAGGATGGGGTCCAGAGGACACTGCTGTGGGGTGTCCAACTGCCCTTATGTATATCCTCCACCTGTATCTCCGGTTTGCTGGCTACATTTGTTTCTTTTTGCCCTCACTGAACTTCATGAAATATGAGCTCTTTTTTTTGAGACTGGTTTTCACTATGCAGCCCAGGCTGGCCTTGAACCTGTGGCAATCCTCCTGCCTCAGCCTCCTGAGTGCTGGGATTATAGGTGTGCGCCACTACACCTGGCTTGAACTTTTTTTTTTTTTTTTTTTCCAGAACCAGGGATCAAACTCAGGACCTTACATTTGCCAGGCAGGCGCGGCACCACTAAGCTACATCCCTGGCCCTGAACTCATTTTAATACACACCAAAAATGCTATTCCTGCTAATACACAGCTCACAAAGGGCGTCAGGATTGCTATCGCGAAGTCACCAGCAGCCCGCAGTGATGGTGCATGCCTGTCATCTCGGCATCGGGAGACTGAGGCAGGAGGATCACTGAGTTCAAGGCCAGCCTGAACTACATGGCAATGAGACCCAGTCTCAAAAACTTAAGAAGTACACATTTCACAAATGGTACAATCTACCTAGAGCTTCAGAAAACTTTCTGTAAGGGCAGACAGCAAATACCGTAGGCTTTTTGGGCCACACAAGTCACAGTTACGTAGTTATCGTACATTGGGAGTAGCCACACACAATGGGCATACGGGTGTGGCTATGTTCCACTAAATCTCATTTATGGAGCCTGAAGTTTGAATTTAACATGATTTTCATATGTCCCAAAATCTTTTTTTGTTTTGTTTTTGAGAGGAAGGTCAGGGTCTCTCTCTATAGTTAGGCCTGGAACTCCCTAAGTTCCCCAGGCTGGCCTTGAACTCAGATCTTCCTACCTCAGCCTCGAGTGCTGGGAATACAGGTGTGCACTATCACACCTGGCCCCAAAATCTTATTTTTTTATAACCGTGAAAAACTGTAAAACCCACTCTTGGCTAATTGACTAAAATTTGCCAACCTGTCAACAATGTTCCTAGCTACTCAGGAGGCTGAGGCCAGAGGATCACCTGAGCCTAGGAGTTTGAGACCAGCCCGGGCAACACAGCAAGACTTTCTCTTTAAAGAAAAAAAGGCAGGCATTGTGGCACATGCCTATAATCCCAGCACTCTGGGAAGCTTAGGCAGGAGGATTACGAGTTTCAGATCTTCATGGGCAACTTACCGGCTCAGTGACACTCCCAAAACTAGTAATAATAAAAAAGGGATGGGGATATAGCTCAGTGCAAAGGTCCTGGCTGCAACCCCCCAGCACTGCCAAAAAAGGGGAAACAATGCTTCCATCTCCCGTGGCTGTCATCCAGTCACCCTGCGGGGACACACAGGTTAGCCTGGGCGTGGCTGCCAACAGGGCCACCACAGGCTCTGCCTGCTCTGCTGCCTTGCATGACACTATGGGAAGGGAGTGGCTCGGCCTGGGGTTCGGGCCCCACCACGTCCATCCATCCATCCGTCTGTCCGTCCGCAGTGTCCTTGTGGAGGGGCTGGGAAAGGATATGGTGTCCTCCCCGCTGGGGCATGGCTGGCCAGGGCGGGTCCTGCAGCAGTCAGGGGCTCAAGCCACTGCCACTGCCCTGTAAATCATCTGCCAGACGCTGGGCTCCATGCCTCCCAGGAATTCCCACTCAGGAAACTGCTCCAGCTACCAGGATTGTCCCGGGCCTCTGACAACCAGACAGTGTGACGGCCACCTGCTGCCTGCATCCGGGTTAGGTCAGGCGGGGCCTCTTCGGGCCCAGCCTGCCCACTCTGGATGCGCCAGTCCAGCTTCTCTGTCTGGCACCCCCTCCTGGGGCTTCGGACAGCTAGGCCTGCTCTCTGTCGCCTCTCCCCAGTGGAGCCGCTGCCCCTGGCCAGTGACCACCCCAGCAGCCCCAACTTGTACCACAGACCCCTCAGCGAAGACGTCCCCCTCACCTTTTTCTCCCCAGTGGTTTTCCTGACCATTTTCAGGACCCCCAAGTACCTCCTGATCATGAGTCCAGGGTCTTTCCAAAACAGAAATCCTAGGGCCAGGGATTTAGCTCAGTGGTTCTGCCGCCTGCCTTGCAAGCACAAGGTCCCAAGTTCAATCCCCAGTACCCAAAACAAAACAAAACAAAACAGAAATCCTCAGCCAGAAGTGGCGGGGCCCACCTGTGACCCCAGCACTCTGGGAAGCTGAGGCAAGAGGGTGGCTTAGCGAGACCCTGTCTCAGAAAGAAAAGAAGACCTTGGGCTCTGGGGAGGTAGCTCAGTGCAAAGGCCTGGGCTTCAGTCTTCAGTACTAAAAACAATAAAAATAAAGAAATCCTCCTGTCCCTTCCACCTGCCTCACCTGAGGCAGCAGGCTACCAAATGTCCTCCACCAATCACTAATGAACCTCAAGGTGCCCCAACCTGAGGACAGACCCTCACCCTCCCCTGGCCACAGGAGGTGACAGCAAAGGACACTGCAGGCAGAGGGGCCCTGAGCCCCAGGCCAAGCCAGTCACTTCTGTAGTGTCACCCAAGGGCAGCAGGGCAGGCGGAGCCTCTGTGACATCAGGGAACGGCCCTCCGCCACACAGCCGCCCTGCCTCAGCCTGGTCGTCCAGGGCCAGGGACTCCCCTACGCATCTCCAACGGTGTCCCCAGAAAATCAGGTCTTTTTTCACTTGTCCTTTTTCCCCCTGAATATTGAGGATTAAACCCAGGGAGCACTGGGCTACATCCCCTGCCCTTTCTTAGTTTTTATTTTGAGACACTGATTCTCTAAGTTACTCATGCTGGCTTTAAACTTGGAATCCTCCTGCCTCAGCCTCACAAGCAGCTGGGACTACCGGTGTGCACCACCATGCCGGGCTTTGAAAACTCCTCCCCGACAGTGAGCCAAGGGACCAGCAGTGGAGTCTCGGCCCTCGCACACTCACCCCGCTTCAGCCTCTCCATGGCACTCTTGCTCCCCGCATACGTGGGTCTGATCTCCTTCCCCAGCTCCTCGATGATGGCCAGCAGCTCCGCGTATTTGCTCTGGGGCACCTGGCTGTTCCCAGTTCCCTGGAATCACGGACAGGAGGTCACCCGGATGGAACCTGACCCCAGCGCCATGGTTCTGGGCTCTCAGGATGGGCTGGGACCACACTTCCCCCTCTGGGGATTCTGCTGCTCTCCCCTTGTGCCTGTCTCCAGGGTCCCCACCATCTCAGAGAGCCAGCGAGCTGGCCACCTACCCAGAGCCCCCAGGGAGTCCCCTGGGGACACAGTGCCCAGGCAGATGGGAGGTGGAGGCCACCTTGGGCTGGGTGGGGCCTCAGCTACCTGGTAGCCAGGAGGGGCCCAAGGTGTGCCCAACACACCCATCCCCCTCCACCCTTAGGACACCGGTCTCCACTCCAGCACCCTCAGACTGTATAAGCACCCAGATCAGGGAGGCCCCAGCTCAGCCAACACTGCCGGCTCCTCTGGCTCCTCCTCTTGCTGCTGGGGCTGCTCGGCCCCAGGCCACCCCAGGGCAGCCAGCTTGCCCCCCAGGGCCAGGATCTGCTGCTTCTCCCACTGCAGCGGCCTAGTCCCCAGGCGCAGGAGCCACCAGGCCTCTCGTGTCCCCCAGCGCCAGAGCTGCATGGCCAGGGCATCGTGCCGTTGTTCCAGGATGCACCTCGGCCCATCTTCCTGCTGCCACCACAGTGTCTTCTGCAGCTGCTGGGCCTGCACCTGCCTTTCCTTGAAGGACAGGACCACCTGGTGGGGCACGGCAAGGGAGCCACAGGGCCACGCAGGCAGAGAAGCAGCTCCATGGCTACCCCAGAATGCTGGCTGGGGTCTGGCCCAGGGAGGGAATCTTGCAGCTGGTGCCCAGGGCTCCAAGGGCTGTGACGCAGGAGTCCCTGCATCTGGGAAGCAGCGCAGGAGGAGCTTCCTCCCTGAGGCCAGTCCTGGGGTTGCCCCACTGGACAGAAAAGGACCCCAGGCTCTGAGGTTCCACATGCAGTTGCCAGCTCTAAGTGGTGGGACCAGGTGTGCATCAAGCAGCTTGCCACCACCAGCTCCAGAGGCAGCAGAGACCCTCCTGCCCCAGCTTCGAGGTCCGGAGTCCAGAAGGAACAGGAAACAGGGAAGGGGCCCACAGGAGATGCATGGGTGGTGGCCTCAGTGTGTGCCTGTGACCTGCAGTCCTGGTCGCCCTTCCATTCCCAGGCTTTCCGTGTGCCTGGTTCATCCCTCTGCCCCTCCCAGTGCCTAGCCCAGCTTGGGCCCTGCTCCGGGCCCCAGCATGCCACCGTACCTGGGTGTAGCCGAGCGACGGCGGCCCATAGTCACTCAGCAGCTGACGGTACTGGGAGGACGTGGCCATGCTGGTGGACGGTGAGTGGACACTTCCAGCTGCAGAAGGAGAGGGGGGTCAGGGGTCTCCCAGCTGCACACAAGATAGCAACGCTGGGTCCTGCAACAACAGTCCCCCTGCCTAGGACCAGGCCACTGAACTCTGCTCCTGACCCCCATGGTGACCGACAGCAACCACTTGTCCCCACCCCTGCTGAACCTATGCACACAGTGATCACGCACGCAGCCCGGCCCGCAGTGCACCTTCCAAGCAGGGGGCTGCTATGGAAGCTGGCATCTACACTGTGAGCCTAATCCCTGCTGTCTCCTGTCCTCGGCCCTGCTAGCCACAGGCCAATGGCCCAGAGCCACAGCCCCACCACAGAGCCCACCTGCTCCCAAGGCCGGGCCAACCGGGCTCAGATTCCTCTCACAGGGAAGCTTCTTGGTTCCTAGGAGCCCAGTGTCTGCGGCCGGGACAGGCTGGTGACAGGAGCTGCACACAAGGCAGGGCTCTAACAAGGCAGCCTCCCCGTTCACCCAGACAGAGCCCTCAACCAACCACTGAGCCTGCTGCCCCTCAAGGAGGGACAGGACTCCGAAGTCTATGCCGCCAGGGCTGCACCCCAAGACGCAAGGCCAGGCTCCACAGGTGCAATGCAGCAGCCAGGCCACTGTCCAGGGCCGCATCAGGGACCAAGCCGGGGCTGCAGCCCGGCCCAGACGTGGGGGCGGGGAGGCCCGTGGAGGGCGGGCAGACCCATAATGGCGTCTGAGTGGCCATTAGCAGGTGGCAGGTGTCCTGCAGAATCACAAACAGCGGTAACCATGGAGAATCTACCTAGTCCTTGGCAGCTGCCCGCTCGCCGCCCCTAGAGCCAAACAGCCTCTGTCTCACACACAGTGAGCTCTGCGGACTTGGCCGGGGATGGACAGCTGGTGCCAGGCCGGCCCAGCTGCATCTGGTGTGTATGTGGGGGGCGGGGGTTCAGAAGCTCAGACTGCGGAGCAGGGAGGAGACCCAGCCCCCCCGCCCCCCTCACCGAAGAGGTCAGCAGCAAGCCGGAGACCCCACAGCTGGTCCCCCTGCCAGGATCCAGGGACAGTGCCCACAGTGTCTTCCCAGTCCCAGGCCTGCCCTGGTCTCCCCATGGGCCCAGGTTTACACCCGCTGTGAATTTGGACCTTGGGCTAGGGCGAGTACAGTGGCTCTAAGAGCCTCAGTTTCCAAGGTTTTCAAGTGGGGAGACACTGAGCCGAGGGGTCAGGTGTGCAGAACAGGGTCACACTCACTATGGGCGTGCCCAGGACCTCCACCCACAGCAATTGCCCTGGGCAGAGGCTGGCACACTCTGCAGAGGCAGGGGTGACCCCCGGCCCCTCACTGGCCAAACCCCAAGGTCCTGAGCCTTCAGAGGTGGCCAGTGAGGGCTGGCAGGGGACGTGTCACAGTCCTCTCTATCATCCCAAGGTACCCAAGACAGTTAGGGTCCAGCGCCCAGCAGGAACGGGCTGGCTGTGTCCCCAGGCCTCCACACATCTCCTGCCTGCTCCCTTGAAGCTGCCACTGTTTGTCACCTCCCAGTTCCTCCTCTCTGGGACCAGGCCTGGCTCAGCACCTTTCCACAGGGCCTTCCCTCTCTGGGCCTCAGTTTCTCCACATGTTGGAGGCAATGCTCCCCAAGAGAAGGTCTAGAACCCACAGTGGGGAGGGGCACTGGGGTTAGGTTTAGGGAGACCTCAGGGAGGGAGAGGAGGAATGAGAAATCACCCCCATTTTACTGTAGGGCGGGCTGAGCAATGGCTCAGAGACCGGGTGAAGTGGCAGGTGACTGACTCCATGCCAAGGCCAGTCCCGGCCTCAGTGTGGAGGGTGCCGCCGGCCCTGGGCAGAGCTGGCGGAAGGGCCGGGAGTGCCACTCGCCCACTCCTTCCTGCAGAGGCAGGGACGAGGCTGGGGCGGCCACAGAGAGGCGGGCGCGGCAGGCCGGGAGCATCGCAGACAATGAGCGCAGTGTGCCGCGCCGGCCTGGCAGAGGCCAGGAAGCTCCTGGGGCCAGGCGAGCTCCCCGCCCCCACGCCAGACAAAGAGCAGCCCGGGCCTGGGGAGCTGGCGGCCTTCCCGCCACTTGGGGCGCCCAGGGTGGGGGGCGGGCGGGCGAGGCGGGGGCTTTGTCTAACTCCGCCACTGCCACCGCCGGCCAGGACGCAGCTTGGCAGGCCAGGAGCAGGAGGCAGGGCCGGAGGGCGTGAGGAATGATGACAGGGAAGCCGGGGAGCGGCGGCGAGAGTCCATCTTGGATGCAGATGGCCGGGCGCGGGGCTCTGCCTGCAGAGGGGGCTGGGGAGGTGGGCGGCCCCGACCAAATGCCAGGGACCTGGGGCCCTGGCGCGGCCCCTGGATTCCCCCTGGCAGGAGGCAGGAAACTGCAGACAGGTGCTGGCCAGCCCAGAACGGCATTGCAGGGGCCAGGGGTGCCTCCGTCACCGTGACTCCAGACCACCTAAGTCCCACTGTGGGGCCCCTACCCCAGCTCTCCCCGGGGAGACCTGAGACCTCTCGCCCTGGGCAGCCTGGCAGCGGGACCCCCGGCCCTTCTGCCCAGGCCGAGGTAGAGAAGGCGCGGGAAACCCTACCTGGCAACAAAGCCGCTCTTTGTAAGGTTGGCGAACCCCAAAGAGGTGAGGACTGATGGGCTGCTGCCCTTGGGGACTCAGAGACCACAGTGAGCCGTTCAACTCTCCCTCCCTGGCACCCCGATCTTAACCCTTTCCAAACCCCAAATATCAATGCCCAAGAAGTTAAATTCACACACACACACACAATACACCTTGCTTTTCTTGGGATTGTTGGAGTTCCGGGTCCAACACTCGGAGGCCAGGCCCCAGACCTGAGGTGACCGCCAGCGTGGCGTTTGTTTCTGACCAGCAGGGGCCCCTCCCGGCCTTTGCCCCTCCGCCCCCGCCCAGCGCACCTCTCTTTTTGGGGAAATCTGTCCCCGGTCGGGGGTCTCCAGAGGAGGAACCTGCGGAGGGCACAGCCCCGGTCATCTCCAAGGCCACAATTGTCCACCCCCTCCCCGTGGCTCCCTCGGTGGCCGGGGGCGAGCCCAGGGGCACAGCTCAGCGCTGTCCGACAACTTCGGGAGGAGTTTCCCGGAGGGCGGGAGGGGACAGCCCCGCGGCTTCTGCAGAGGCCGCACGTGGGGCTCGGGGACGGGGACCCTGGGCATCGCTACCCCCCACCCCGGCAGCCGCGGCTCTTCTCCAACTTCTCTCCTCCGCGCCCGTCCGGCAGCGGCCCTGTCCAGACCCGGTCCCCGTTCCCGCGCCCCCCGAGCCGGCGGGAGCCGGCGCCGGCCACCCCTGTCCCCGCGTGGCCCGGCCCCGCACGCCCCCGCCACCTGGCCTGACCCGCGCCCCGCGCCCCGGCCGCTCCCCACTCCCGCCGGCAGGGGCCCTCGCCGAGCCGCCCGGGAGCCGGAGGAGAAAGCCGGAGAAAGCCCGCCCCGCGCCCCGCCACCCGGCTGCCGGCGTGGGGACTCGCAGCCCCCGGCCCCGACACCCGGGGAGCGCGGGGCGCACGCGAACTTCGGCGGCGCGGGCGCGGGGATCATGGCGACCGTGGTGCCGCTGCCCCAGCCGGGACCCGGAGCCGGCGCCCCCGGCCGCCGCCGCCCCGGGAGCGCGGAGCCCAAGTTGGCGGCGCGGGGCGCGGAGGGGGCGCTACTCACCGGCGCTGAGGGCGGCGGCGGGCACGTGCGCCAAGTTCGGCTTGTACGACATCCCCGCGGGAGGCGGGCGCGCCCTGCGCTGCCGGGCCAGGCCGCGAGGACGGCGACAGCGGCCCCCGCGTCCCCGCGCCCGTCCGAGCGCCCGCCGAGCGCCCGCGCACTTTTGGCTGCCGGCGGCTCGGGCCGCACCGGCAAATATGGCCGTCGCTCCCCGCCGCCGGGCGCCCAGGCATCGGCGGGCGCAGGGGCGGCCGCAAACTTTGAGCCGAGCGCGGCGCCGGCCCGGGCCGGGAGGGGGCGGCCGAAGGCAGGGGGCGGCTCCGTCCGCGGCCGCGCCCCCGCCCCGCGCGCCGCCCGCAACTTGGCAAAGTTTGGGGGGCTGGGGTCCCCGCGGCCGCCGGTCGTCCCGGGCGGCTTCCCGCCTCCCCAGCCCGCGGGGTCCGAGAACTACTTCCCTGCTCCGACTGGGGGAGGATGGAAAATTACCTGGAGAAAATGGTGGCGACGGGTCCTTTTTTTTTAAAGCACGTAGATCATTCCAGATGCCCCGGTCTGGCAGTGCCCCAGAATTAGAATAACCAGTTCTTGACATTGATTTCGAATACATTTCATGTCTCCGCCGGGATGAAGTGGTTTTTAACCCTTTGGGGACCTGAGACTCCTCGGAGACTGACAAAAGCGGGAGGCCTCCCCTCCGGGCGCGGGAGCTGTGCGGGGTGGGGGCGCCCACTGCGGGCCGGGCCAGGCCTAAGCGCCCGGGGTGCGGAAGGAACTTGGCGAAGTTTCCGCTCCCCCGAGCTTGCCTGCTCTGCGGCCCCCCAGAAACTCCTTCGTCTGGAATTGAGTGCGTGACCTCCCCAGCTACTACCTTTTGGAGTTCTGCCTGGAGTGATGCTCCTCACATTACATAAAACGCCCACCCTCTTCTGGCGTTTTTTAATCGCCATGGCTTGCGGGTTGTTTTTTTTTAATTAGTCACATTTCAGACATCTTCCCTGGATGTGGTGACAAAGGCGTCAATCTCTCCGCCCAAGAAGGAAGGGACATCCGCCCAGGCCTCCTCCCGGTTTAGGACTGAGGCCGCAGCCACACCCCCTCCCCAGCTTCGGAAGTTGGCTCCTGGGGACCCTGCGCGGTGACATTTTCTCTCTGAGGACATCAGTGCCATCGCTCATGCACGGGCCAATGGAAACAAAGCAAGCTGCATAGAGGATTTAAAAATTTTTAGTGGTCTCAGCTTAGAAAGTAAAACATGAAATTAATTTTTAATGATATATTTCATTAACACAATAGATCAACAGCAGTATGATTTCAATATACAATGAATACTCAGAAATCAAGATACTTTGTATTTTTATCTTTTTTTTTTTTGTAGGGGATCGAACTCGGGTCCTTGCGCTTGCGTAGCAGACAGTGAAACCACTGAGCTAAATCCCCGGCCCCAGTATTTTTATCACATTAGAATTTAAAAATCCCAGTGTTCGTTTTGTGCACATTCACCACACATCTTCATCCAGGTTGTTGTTTGGGGTTTTTTTTGGGGGGGGGGCAGTCCTGGGGACTGAACCCAGGATCTTCACACTAAGCTACATCCCCAGCCGCTTTTATTTGAGACTGGGTCTCTTGTGATCCTCCCGCCTCAGCCTTCTATAGCCACCATGGCCAGCTAGCTAGTGGTCACCTATGGGACAGCTCAGGCCTAGAAGCACAAGCGGAGGGTCAAAGGGCACGCACCTGCGCACTAGCTCACTCAGCCTTTGCGCTGATGAGGCTTCCATTTCCCTGGGGCGAAGATCCGGATCTCAGTGGGCCCCCCAGGCTCTCTCCTGATATCCCCTGGTTTGTTTCCCCACTGCTACATTTTTACCTTGATTACCTGCCCCTCCCATTATGTCTCCATCATTTCAAACATTTTTTTCCCTCTTATTCCTAGTTGAGATGTAATTCACTTAGTATAAAATTTGGCCCCCTTTGGTTTTGGGGTTTTTTTGGTTTTTTTGGAGACAGGGTCTCACTATGTAGTTCAGGCTGGCCTCGAACTCACAGCAATCTTCCTGACTCAGCCTCTCCAGTGCTGGGATTACAGGCTTGGGCCACCATGCCCAGCTCGCCCTTTTAAAGCAGACTATTCGGGGGCCGGAGATTTACCTCAGTGGCATCATACCTGCCTCGCAAGCACAAGGCCCCCAGTTCGATCCCTGGTACTAATAAAGAAAGAAAGTATACTAGTCAGGCCAGAAGTGATGGTGCCACCCTGTAATCTCAGCACTTGGGAGGCTGAGGCAGGAAGATCTTTTGGGGGTTTTTTTGTTTGGTTTGGTTTGGTACCGGGGATCAAACTCGGGACCTTGCGCTTGCAGAGCAGGCGGTGGAACCACTGAGCTAAATCCCCAGCCCTAGGAGGATCTTGAGTTTGAGGATGACCTGGGCTACACACCAAGACCCTGTTTTAAAAAACAAAAAATCAAAACGCAAAAAACCACATCTCCATCACCCCAAAAAGAAACTCCCCAAGGCCAGGCGTGGTGGCCCAAGCCTGTAATCCCAGCACTCGGGAGGTAGAGGCAGGAGGATCGCTGTGAGTTTGAAGTCAGCCTGAACTACATAGTGAGACCCTGTCTCAAAAACAAAAATATAAAAAGAAACTTCCCATAGTAGTCATCCCCCACTTCCTCTACCTTTTAGGTACCAACTAATTTGTTTTGTCTCTGTGGATTTGCCTATTCCAAACTTTTCAGGTAAACAGAAATGTAAACATCACACATATGTACAGGGTCATGCATATGTTAACAGCATCATACATATGTAAACATAACCATACATATGTAAACAGAATCATGTGTATGTAAATAGAATCATACATATACAAACAGAATCACACATATGTGGCCTCTCTGTTGCCTTCTTTCACTTTGCATTGTTTCCATGTTTCACTCACTGTGTAGCATGTGTGTCCCAGGTTTTTTATGAACGAATAATCATTGTATGGACATATCCAGGGCTGGGGATTTAGCTCAGTGGTTTTGCCACCTGCTGCGCAAGCGCAAGGACCCGAGTTCGATCCTCAGTACAAAAAAAAAAAAAAAAAAAAAGTGGAGGGCTGGGTATAGCTGAGTGGCACCACACCTGCCTAGCAAGCACAAGGTTCTGAGTTCAACCCCTGGTACCAAAAAAAAAAAAATGTGGTAGGAGCCAGACATAGTGGCTCACACTTGTAATCCCAGCATTCAGGAGGCTGAGGCAGGAGGACTACAAAGAATTCGGGGCCTACCTGGGCTACATAGTAAGTTCAAGGCCAGCCTGAACTATAATCGAGACCCTGTATCAAACAAAAGTGGGAGAGCAGGCAGCCTGTTTTACTTCTGAGCGGAAGGAGAAAGACTTTAGTTTCTGGCATGCTATTGCTTGTGAGCTTACCTGTCCTTTATGAAGTTCACGTCTACTCCTCTTTGTTGGGTGGTTTTTACTATTAAAGGTGGTGGACTTGGCCAATGCCTTGTCAGAACCTAGAGAAGACCCCGAGTCGTTCCCTTTTACGGAGTCTGCCATCGGGCCCTGTCCCTGGTGCGGTGGGAAAGGCAGTCCGCAGCCACAGGTAGCTGTGATGTGCGCCCTGGACTCCTCACTTTACCCCATCAGCCGGGAGGATGGTCTTGGTCCTTGTCTTGACCCGCATCTGAGCCTTCTTCACACCAACTTTCCCATGTGTTTCACTTGGCAAACTCCTGCTCATCCATCAAAGCCCAGCAGAAAAACCTTTCCTGACCTCTTTCTCTATGAAGCCTCATTAATTCCTATTTCACCTAATCTTCCCTGTATCCTTCCTTATTATTTTGAGACAGAGTCTAAATTGATAAATTGTCCAGGCTGGGGCCGGGATTATATGCATGAGCCACCATGCCCAGCGAGCCGAAGTTTCCTGAATGAAAGAACTGAGCCCTCACGTGTTCTCAGTGGCCATTTCATGATGTGCTCCTAGGAGTGAGAGGCAATGTGGGGTGACATCAGCTCTCCCCCTTCTCAGTTTTTCCTTTTTGAGATACCTTTGCCGTGTAATCCAGGCTGGCCTTGAACTTGTAGCAATCCTCTTGCCTCGGCCTCCTGAGTGCTAGGATTATAGCTGTGCGCCATGTCTTGCACTTTTTTTTTGGCTTTTGGACATAGGGTTTCACTATGTAGTTCATGCTGGCAGTGATCCTTCCGCCTCAGCCTGTTTTCAATTCATGCTTTTTTTTCCCTTTTTTATCTTTTTGCATGCTGGGCTTGAACCTAGGCCTCACTCTGCCAGGCAAGCACTCTGGTGTTGAGCCCCACCCCCAGGTGGGTACTGAGCTCACAGTTCTCCCCATCAGCCTTGCTGGGGTCCTGGGTGGCTCAGGAGGAGCAGCTGTCCTCTGGCTCTGGAGTCCAGAAGGCTGAGCAGAGTGACAGCAGAGCCAGCTTCCTCCAGTGGGCATGTCCAACCTGCAGTTCCTCCTTTCTGGGCCTTTTATTCCCCCCTGAGCGAAGAGGAATTATCCTAGGCCACATATAAAACATATAATAAAGTTAACGTATAGAAGGAGCAAAACAGGGCCAGGGATTTAGCTTGGTGGTTCTGCCACCTGCCTTGCAAGTGGAAAGTCCCAAGTTTGATCCCCAGTACCAAAAAAAAAAAAGTAGCAAAACTTCCTTTTACTTTTTTTTTTTGAGACAGGGTTTTGTTTTGTGGGGTTTTTTGGTACCGGGGATCGAACTTGGGACCTTGCACTTCCAAGGCAGGCAGTGGAACCACTGAGCTAAATCGCCGGCCTTGGAGATAGGGTCTTGTTATGTGTCTCAGGCTGGCCTCGAACTCATGGCGATCCTCCTGCCTCACCCTCCTGAGTGCTGGGATCACAGGTGTGTACCACCATGCTTGGCTACAAAACTTCCTTTAAAAAGTATTTTTCAGGGCCAGGGATTTAGCTCAGTGGTTCTGCCACCCACCTCACAAGCCCAAGGTCCCAAGTTCCATTCTCGGTACCAATAAAAAAAAAGTATTTATCATCAGTACACTCAAAGGAGGGCAATCCAGGCACAGGGGTGGCACTGTAATCCCAGTGCTCTGGGAGGCTGGGGCAGGAGGATCCCATCTCAACAGGCAAGACAAACCATGCTCCCAGGCTGTGTGCAGGGTGGGGCCCCGCCTGTCTCCCCAACCCAGGGCTCTCAGCCAGAGACCCTCACATGAAGCAGTCACTTGCAGGTCTCGGGCAGCAGACTGCTCGCCTCCTGGGAGGTGCAGAAAGGACCCCGAACTTCCCTTTCCTGCCCTCTGACTGTGTCTAAAGCCCCCAGATGAGGAAGCAGTATTCCCAGGGGTTCCGTTCACAGTGAATATATTCAAGGAGGCCCATTTTTATTTATTTTTTTAAGTAGGCATGTTTTAAGCAAGTAGGGTTTTGTTTTGTTGTTTTGAGACAGGGTCCCAATATGTGGCCCAGGCTGGCTTTGAAATCACAGTGATCCGCCTCTCAGCCTCCTGAGTGGCTGGGATCAGCAGCCATGATGTGCTGCTTGCTTTGGGCCCAAAGCAATAGGGGTCACTGATAATGGACTGAAACCTCGGAAACTGAGCCCACGTCAACTTCCCTCCCTGTGGGTTGATTCCCTCAAGTATTTGCTATCAAAACAGCACATGACACTCACACTGCAAGTCAGAGTTGGCTCCAAAATCTTAGTTTTCTCCCCCCACCCCCAGTGCCCAGGGGCTTATGCCTGCTAGGCAAGGCCTCTGGCACTGAACCATGGGCTCGTTCTATTTTTTTTTTAGTCAAAGTCTCCCTTTGTACTACAG